GGAGCGGGGGAACGCCTCTTCCGTCCTGCCCTTCCCGGCTCACCGGGACCTTCCAGGCGGTGTCCGAGCCCTGGGATTCGGGGTAGAGTTTGTCCAGGCTGTAGATGCTCTGGAACGCGGTGCCGTCTCCCTGCTTGTGCAGAGCCCGGAGCGGGCAGCGCGCGGGCGGCGGGAGCAGCCAGGCCCCGGCTCGGCTCAGGCCCCCGCGCATGCACCTGAGGGCCGCCATGTTCAGGTCTCGGGACGCTTCCGGCTGGCGCCCTCTCCTCGCGGTCCGCAAGCTCGCGCTGCCGTCGGCACTTTGGTTCCGCGCGGCTTCCTGGGCCCGCGAGGGGAGGCGGTGAGCTGGGCTCACGGCGGTGCTGCCCGGCCGGCCGCGTCCGGGAGGCCTGCCTGGCGTGGCGTAGCCGTTGGCCGGACCGCGAGCTCCGGAAGGAGCCTCCTAGTGACGTTAACCCCTGGATCTCCTGTCCCCCAGAAACATCACTTCGCGCCCTTTCAAGAGAGTCTGTTCCCTCCTCCTGGACCGCTCGTCACCCAAACCCGCGCAGGCCCTCCCTCCCGCCTGGTTCCTCTCGCGCCTGGTTCCTCTCGCGCCCGCCCGCCCCAGGCTCCACGTCCCCGTTACCCTGCCCTGTGTTTTCTTCTTTTCTTCTTTTCTCTAATCTCAACCTTAAATAGAAGCCCCAGGAGGGCACCGGCTCACTGCTGTATTCCGAGCACCCAGAACATGGCACGTCGTGGGCACTCTACAAATACTGATAAAATGAATTCTATGGGAGTGTGTGTTTGCAAGTTGAATTCTGGTGGAGCTGGTTTTGGGAACTTCAAGCTCTTTTTGCAAGGCAGCCTGTAAGCAAATCCTGCCTCCACCAGCACGTGTGTGATGGTTTATACCCAGCCGCTCTGCATGAGAAATACCAGACAGGAGGAGCGGGTGACCCTTCCACAAAGAAAGGTTTGCAAAACCTGGGGCCGTCGCGCCCCCAGAACAGCGAAACCTTAGTTAAGTTACTTTGTTGAAAGGCAGGAGGGTAAATGGAAACAGAGCTCAGTAAATGTTAGGAATTGTTAGTAACGCTAGTGGTTGTTTCTTAATGAAGAGTTCTATTTTTAGGAAAAAGCATAATTACCTAGAAAAATATACCTCTGGGGATGCTGGCTGATTGAAACAGGAGATTGTCATCAAATCAAGGCTCTACCATCTCAGCATTGTTGATGTGTCAGTGTCTTTAGGAGGGAATAAACCACTTGCCAGCCACTGGCTTCGTAAGCTCAAACTAAGAAGAAGGTGGCAGCTGACATATTCCCTTTGGGCTCCCTCTGGAAGGAATGTCTCCTGGGTCCCTGCCTGTCTGACTGAGTCTCAAGGCCTCAGAGGGAACAGAGGCATCTCCATGGTGACTGGAATAAGCTGCTCAGGGGAGCAAAGCCAGGCACTACGGTTGAGGGCTGAGGGATTATGACTAATAAAGTCAGAACCATTCCATGGCATCATTGTTCTGAGGCTGGGCTCCAGCCCTGCATCTGACCCAGGGAAATAGGAAAAGAAAACTGCAGGTTTCCATGGCCCCAAATAAACACAGCCTGCTCAGGCCATCTGGTGGCCTGGATTCTGGGAGAGGAGATGGGTACAGGATAGAATGAGACAAGCTGCCCTGGGGTGAGGGGAAGAGCAGCTGGCAAGCTCCTCTCACCTGCTGCTGCCGTGAACCATCCAGAATGAGGGCCCACCTGTTCTCCCAAAAAGGTGGAAGCCAGCCTCCTCCTTACCCTCCTTGGTCATCCATAGGCTGAGATGGTGCTTCAGGAAGAGGGGTTATTCATGGGGGAGAGAGGAAGGAAGGGAAGAAAGGATAAAGAATCACTACCCATTCCTGGCGGCTGAGGAGTTTGCAGACCCCAGCCCTTCTCTGTGGCCCCTGCATTGGGGAACCACTCCCATGTGGAGGGGCCACATGGTCCCCCTTTCTTCTCTGGAGTGCTCTGTCTTCAAACTCATTATTATGTGGAAATAGGGAGCGTGCAGTGAGTCATGGTGGAATTGGTCAGGCCAGAGTTCAAATATTTCTATGTGACCTTGAATTACTTAACCTCTAAACCTCCGTATCCTCATTAGTAAAATAGAGATTTTATAGCTACCTCATAAAATCCCTGAGGATATTAAACACGTGTAAAACACAACACAGTGCCTGACACAGAGTCAGCACACACAAAAACGTAGCTGCTGCTAAGGGGTGCTGAGTGCATGCAGGTTTCTTGAGGGCACTTTCTTTTTCTTTCAGAGACTTGATGACATATTTTTTTTTCTTTGCAGCACTGGGGCGGGAAATCCAGTCTGACCGCTCTCTTCCAGACCCTCTTGCCTTCCCCAAGGGTTGGGCAGCACAGAGGATGCTTCGAGGCATGAGTGAGTGGGCCAAGCTGGTCCTTCCTCCTGCAAGGTTCTTTCTTCCCCACCACCTCTTGCTTGCCTGGTCCCCTAGAAACTGGGCCACATCCTGGCTCTCAGTTCAAGGTTTGCAGGGAGTGCAGAAGCAGGCCTGTCCTGCTGCTTCCTCTCACCATGGGGGCTGGAGTTTGGCCTTGGGAGTGGGGGAGGGAGCCAGTTGGGAGGAGGACAGAGCTGGGCAGAAGCCCCTGGGGAGGCAGCAGGGAGTATCTGCCAGCCAAGCAAGGACAAAGTGGTGATCAGAAGGGAAGAAGGGGCAGAAGAATGTACCCAGAGTTTAATAGCTGAGGGAGAGCAGAGCTGTTGGATACAGGCCACAGAACGCTTCCTTTGCTGCTCAGGTGTGACTGCTGCCCAGGTGTGACTGCTGCGTGTGTTAACCACAGGGCTCTCCACCCAGCTGGGGACTCCGACAGCCACTTGCATGCTGCTGCTCATACCCCCTCACCACTTAGTTTAGTTGATGTAAGAAGCACAGAAGTTTGGGGCCCAGCTCTGGGCTCCCCACACCACACCTTCCTCCCCTCCCAAGTGTGGGGGAAGCTGTTCCAGCTCCCCTGGGAGCGTAAGGGAAGCATTGTCGGTGGGAAACCTGCATGTTTCTCACAGCGCCCGCCGGCCCCTGAGTCCACCTCCCAGGGAACACTATGCAAGCTTTGCCACAGATGCAGGTCATGTGGGCTGGTGGGATTGGGCTCCACAGAGCCGCATTTTCTGTCTGGAAATGGGAGAGAATAAAAGGCAGCAAGAAACTGACCCCCCCACACACACACACACACACAAAGATTCAGGAGCATTTTCTTCTCTGACTTTAGAGGTCACCCGTGTCTTTGGAACCATCCACCAGGACAGGGCTGCCGGTGAAAGGAGGGCTGGGTGGGGTGGGCATCCTGGGGCTAAGGCAGAGCCCCCAAAGGTGCCCCTCTGACCCAAACCCGCAGGTGTGTCTCTGGGCCTCTGATATGTGAGTTTGGACATCAGTTCTCAATGTGGGTGGACATTACTGGATTGGGAGAGGGCTGGGTGGAGCACACGAGAAGTTTGGAAAGGCACCCTGCTATCATTCTGCATTGAGGAAAATGGCAAACCCAGCAGATTGACAGCAGCTGCAGTATGAGACAGAAGCCGGTGAAATCCTGGGGATGGTGGGCCCAGGAAGTCCAGCCCTTCTCTGTGTACCGTCCTGGCCTCTCTGTAACGTGGGGACGAGACAGATGTGGGGGTGTGGGCCAAGAATGGGAGTTTTTTTTTTTTTTTTGAGACAGAGTCTTGCTTTATTGCCCAGGCTAGAATGAGTGCCATGGCATCACCCTAGCTCACAGTAACCTCAATCTCCTGCGCTCAAGCAATCCTCCTGCCTCAGCCTCCCGAGTGGCTGGGACTACAGGCATGTGCCACCATGCCCGGCTAATTTTTTCTATGTATATAAGTTGGCCAATTAATTTCTTTCCATTTATAGTAGAGCCGGGGTCTCACTCTTGCTCAGGCTGGTTTCAAACTCCTGACCTTGAGCAGTCCACCCGCCTTGGCCTCCCAGAGTGTTAGGATTACCTGAGCCTTTTTTTAAAATGTATGCGGAAGAGAGGTGTGGGGTCTATAAAGTTTGAAAAACACCAGGAGATGGCCCTCTTGTCATTCCTGTAACTGTCCTATGTCACCAATGGGTGGTTCCTCAAGTGCTGATGGCCTTCCCCATGCTTCAGGGTCTCTCAGGACATCAGCCCCATCCCAGGCTCCTTCACTCTCCCTCTACGATTCCACCTCCACCAGCAGCCCAGGAAACCTTTTAAAATCATAGCCAGCAGCCCTGCCATCACTCCTCATTGCACTTAGGAGGAGGCCCCCAGGGCCCAGCTGCTCCCTGGGCTTGCACTGGTCTTTCTGGCTGGTCCTGCCCCAGCCTTCAAGTCTCAGCTAAATCGCCACCGCTCTCAGAGGGTGCCCTGCCCACCCTGGCTTATTGTCTCCCAGGCTTTTCTTCCCATTATCCCTCCCCCTTCCTACCTGGACGAAGCTCATTTAGACACTTTCCCCCTAATTGCTCCCCCAGGAAATGTGAGTACCATAGACTGGATCTCTCTCCATGTACTGCACGTATCTCTAGGTACAAGATCATGTAAGATATTTTTAAAAATTTGGCTTGCCCCCTTGCGCGTGCGTGCCCAGCTGCGGGAGCACTGGCCTCCCGCCCTGCTATCCTCATCGCACTACCTTTCTTTGTTCATTTTTGGTGGATCTCCCCACCCCGGAATGTAAAGTCCAAGGTAAGAAGGGCCCTGGAGGTTTTGTTCACTGTGTGTCCCCAGCACGACTGGCATCGCTGGCACACAGCAAATATAGAAACGCCGCAGACAGCCTGCTATTTAGAGCCACTCAGCCACCAATCATGGGGAAGTGAGGAGGGAGAGCTGAGAACTCAGGCCCGAGTGGCCGTAGAGGACCCTGCAGGGCCACGGGGGAGCGGCGCTAGGGGTGCCACCCTCTCCCTGTAGCTGTGTGTGATGGGAGGCAGGTGCATAAGACACAGAGAAGGGACTGAGGCCATTTCTGCTTTTAGAATACTGATGCGTTTTTTTATTAAAGAAGAGAATAAAGCATTTGTAAATATATTTCTCTCACGTATACTTCAAAGGTGGTCAGCCACTACAGAGCTGGGGGGCAGACAGGCCAGAGCTCTTCCTCTACCCTCTCCCTCCACTCCTCCCCCCAGAGAACAGAGACACATGGAGGGCCGGGAGCTGCCCAGCCCCAAAGGACAAAAGGTTCCAAGTTGCATGAACGGAAGGACCCAGCCGCCAGCTCGCATCACAGTGCCACCCGGAGAGCAGGGTGGTGTCTCCAGGGGGGTCGGGCATGCGTGTTAAGAAAACCCCTGTACCTATTACAAATAAGTAAGGCATGAAGGTTCCCAATGGGCTCTTGGCACAGAGGCCAGGGCCACCGCCTTCCGCTGGACTGTATGGCTCCTCCGATTTCTAGGGTCTCAGGAAGGGCGGCAGAAGGAACCAGGAGCCCTGAAGGACTGGCCAGGGCAAGCTGGGGATGTGGGCATCTCTTAGCTGAAGGTTGACTCTCTGAAGTCTTAAACCAAAAGATTAAACCCCTAACCCAGCTGGGTCTTCAAAAGCCCCCCCCAAAGGTGGGAGGTTAAGAGCAGGCATTTTATGGGAGGGAGAGAGGGGCCATGTTTCTCATCCCTGTCCCAATTCAATACTACTCGGTGTGGGGTGAGGATCTGACAGTCCCCAGTGAAGGGGGGGTGGGGTGGACACTGAGACCACTGGCTGGTGGCACATGCCCAGGACATTCTGGGGGCTGCGGATGTGACCTGTGCCAGGGTTGGCCTGTGGGGAGCATGGAGTGAATGAGACATCATGGTCCCTGAGATGGGGGCAGGTGAAGAGAGGGGAGGCAGAAGCCAAGCTTGGTGAGCGGGAGGTGGTGTGCAGAGTTGGCGGCTCCCACTGCCCCAGCCCCTGGAAGGCTTAACGGCCCCAGTAGGCATTTCTGGGCTGGACCTGGGGAGGCTGGCTCTGAGGGGAACAGTGCCCAGCTCTGCCAGGGGCTCCCTCTTCTCCTCCTCTGATTGGCTACAGATCTGCTGTGGGCTGAGGGTCTCCGAGGAGAAGCCTGGCCCGGCAGGGCTGGATCAGGGGACACTCGGGGCCTGGCTGAGACCTCCTGCTCTGCATGGCAGGGGGTGTCTCTGAGCTGGTCAGGACCCCAGGGTGGGGCAGCTGGTGCTAAGGGAATTTGGGAGCATCACAGCTGGGGAGAAGCAGTGAGTGGTCCAGGAGACCCCTGAAACCCGAAACAGTGGCTCTGGGGTCCCCTTTCAAGTGTTTCCAGTTGTGGCAAGGGGTCAAGGAGACCTCCCATTGCAAATCTCTCAGAAAAACCAAACTTTGGAAAAAAATTTGAAAAAGCCAAATAATCCAGAAAGGCTTGCAAAAGCCTGGCCACCAATCTGAGGGTGAGGCCCAGGGTCAGCAAGCCGGGGGGGGAGGGAGAGCATGGGGATCCCTGGGGGAGTGGGGACGTTTGGCTTTGAAACTCTGAGCTGCGCCTTTGGGCTGATGCAGGTGGCCAAGGGCTCTCAGGAGGCAGGACAGGTTGGCCGCCTACCACGTCATCAGGGAACATGCTGTGTTCCCGTTTCGGAGGGGCCCCTTCCTCACGGCCTCTGGAGCAGCCACGTGCTGTGATGTATTGCTGCTAAAGGCTCTCCCTCGCCAGAGGATGCACGGTCCAGGCATGCGGGCCAGGAAAGGGTCACTTGCTGCTGTGCGTCTTGACTTTGGTGGCGTTGATGTCAGCCTTGGTCTTCTGGATCCTGGAGAAGATCTCCTTGAATAGCGCCTTGTACTCGGGCTGGCTCTGCTCCAGCCGCTTGTCCACGGCCTCCACGTGCTGGCTCAGGCTTTTCTCCCCGGCCTTGGCGTCCCCCTGGCCCTCCTCGCCCCCCCGCAGGTCCCTCCAGGAGCTGTCGCGGGAGATGGGCCTCGAGGTCTGCACGCCGGCATGCCGCACGCCCGCCCCGTGCTGCCGGCACTTGCTCAGCAGCTCCTCGTACTTCTCGAGCAGCGCGTGGTACTGCTCGTCCACCTCGCGCAGGATGGACATGCCCCGCTTGCGCACGCTGTTGGCGTGCAGCGTCAGGTTGCCCGCGTGCCGACTGGCTGGGTCTTTGGCCACGATGGCGTTGAGCGCCGTGTCGCTGCAGCTCTTGCGCACTGCGTGGCCCGGGGAGGCGGCTGGCGAGAGGACCCCGTCCTGGGCACCCGGGTCCTCCCCGCGGCCCGGCTGGGGGTCGTCAGCCTCAGGGGCCTGGGTGAGGGGCGCCAGCAGAGCCTCGGCCAGCTGGTCGTCCCGGCCCAGCAGGTAGGTCTTGGCCTGCTTCATCTGCTGCAGCTCCAGCAGCTCGGCCTCCAGCTCCTGCACGCGCAGGCGGCAGGCCTCCATGTCGCACAGCTGCCGCTCCAGCTCCGAGTACTCCTGCAGCACCGCCGTGTACTCGCGCTCGGCGCGCTCCTTGCGCTGCCGCTCCTGGCTCACCTGGGAGCGCAGCGCCCCCACCAGGGTCTGCAGCCGCTCGTTCTCCTGCTCCAGCGGCCGCGGGCCCAGCTCCAGGGAGGAGCTGTGGAGGCGGAAGGCATCCTTGCACCTGGCGGGGAGTGGGGGGAGGGGGCAGGGGGCGGGCAGGGGTCATGGCCAAGGCCCCACAGCCCAGCCTTAGTGCTTACAAATCTGTGGCGCACTGGGCTGGAGCTCTGTTTGCCCCTCTCCATCCACTCTCCACCCTTCACCCTTCTCCCCTGCTCTCTGCCGGGGAGGCTGACCACCAGCCACGGCCCCAGCCAGGTCTGCGCACTCTCTCCTGAGCCCAGCTGTGGGGGGCACTGGGCAGAGGGAGGCTGCTGGTATGGTATGGGGTACATCCTCCCTGGGTTCTCCCCACAGTCACTGCCTGCCAGGCAGCCTTCTCCCTTCCCCTTGCCCCTTGCCTAGGGCTGGGAACGCTGCCCTCTCTGCTGCAGTCCCGGGCACTGTAGTGTCCCCCTGGTTTCCCTACTCCTTGTCCACACCACTTCTTTATTAACGTCTCTGTTCCTCTGTGCGAGGCACTCTTTCCTGCCAGGACTCTTATTGAAACACCCACCAAACAGGTAACGTGTATTCTTACCTTATTAAGTGTAATAGCTGTCAGGTCTTAGATTTGATGGGAACTGACAATGGTTCAGTGGTGGACCCCTCCTGGGTTAGAATTCTGGCTGTGCCTCTTACTAAACAAGTGACCTTGGGTAAGACGCATACCCTCTGAGCTTCCGTTTTCTCATCTGGGTAGTGGGCATAACATAACGCCCCTCACAGTGTTGCAGTGAGAATTAAATTCTCAGTAAATGCCAGCAGCTATGACTGTCATTAGTAATAGGACCAGCTTCTCTCATGCCCTGGATGATGCAGCAACTCTTGTTCCCACCTGCTGCCTGTCCCCTGCCCTGGCTGGCAGCCCTGGGGACTCGGAGACACCGAGCAGTGCCCTCACCTACCGGGGGCTGGTGCACAGCTCCTTGAGGCAGGGGAAGGTGTGGATGGTACGCCTGCGCTCCCGCTTCTCCCGGAGCACTCGCAGCTGCTCCAGGCCCCTCAGCTGCTCCACTTGGGCCTGCAGCTCCTCCACCTGGGCCTGCAGCCGCTCAATGGTCTCCGTCAGCCTGGGGGGCAGGTGGAGCAGGGGACACGCAAAGGAGAGGTTTTAAGGGGAGAGGGCCAGCCTGCCTTACTGAGCTCTGGCTCCCTGCAGATGGAGGGATGTGGGGTAGGGGACAGGCAGGAGCTCTTGAGCTGTGCCGCCTAGTCCGGGGGTCAGACGGGGAACTCTATGCATGCCTAAGGACCCACTCTTCCTCCATACCTCCCAGGTCAAGCCGATCACTCCTCCTCTCCGCCACCTCAGTTCCTTGCACACTCCTCTATCACTTAGCATCCTGCACTGAAATAGAACATTGACACGCCTGCCTTCTCTCCCAGGCTGTGAGCTCCCAGCGGGTGGGACAGCATCTTTGTATCTCCACCATTGTGCATCCTCAGTGTCTAAAACAGAGCCTGCTGGAGTTTGAGACCAGTCTGGGCAACATAGCAAGACCCCGTCTCTACAAAAAACTCTACAAAAAATGGGCCGGGCATGGTAGCACACACCTGTATCGTAGCTACCTGGGAGGCTGAAGCAGGAGGATTGACCGAGCCCAGGAGTTTGAGGCTGCAGGGAGCTATGATCATGCCACTGCACTCCAACGTGGGGAACAGAAAAGAGCCTATCTCTAAAAATGAAACTAAAAATTAAAAAATAAAACAGACCCTGGTGCATAGTTGGTGCTTAAAGAAGGGTTGGTCCTTAAAGAAGGGTTGTGGCCTAAATGTTAAGCCATGAAAAGTGGAGGGGGGCAAACTCACTACCATCCTAGGATTTTAGGGAGAAGCATGAGTCATACCCACCAGTCCGTAGACCCATGCGCACACCCAGCCCTGGGCCTCTCCCTCGTCCACTCCCCGGCCCTCAGCCAGGCCCTCACCCGTGGATCTTCTGCTGGGCAGCCTTACTCTCCAGCACCAGCCTCTGGTTGGTCAGCTCCAGGTCTCGGGCTGTCAGGTCCAGCTGCTCGTACACTTTGGCATGCTGCTCGTTCACATGCCGCAGAGTGTCCAGCTGCTTGGTCAGGTACTGGGGGCCAGGGGGCATTGAATAACCTTTTAGAATGGGGCAGGGGCAGATGTCTCTGCCTGGGCCCTCTTCCCACTTCTAAGGACAGGTTTGCTTTGAAATATTTGTCTTCAGCTGATTGAGGGGCAAAGACAGTACAATAGGTCTGCCTGGGATAGTTGTGCGGGTTGTGAACTGCACAAGGCTGTTGGGGTGAGGTTGTGTCTGCTAAGTGGGTGCCTTTTTCTAAGTTGCACAAAGGCACATGTGGGCCAAGGGGCCTCTGATGGGTGGGGCAAACATGTGCAGGGCCTGGGTGGCTCCTCACCTCGATCTCCTGCACTTGTTCCTCATTGGTGGAGTACATCTGCTGCAGGGACTCCTCCAGCTCCTTGTTCCTCTCCAGCAGAGTCTTCCCCAGCTCCGCAGCCAGGTGTAAGTCTGGGGGGAGGGATGAGAGGGTGGGAGAAACATGAGCAGCATGAGAACAAAGACAGAGGACCCCCCATTAATGTTCAGAGCATCCACTCTGGCAGGGGGGCCCTGGGCAACCAAGACGCAGGGAGCCTCAGGCCTGGGAGGAGATGTAAGCCAGGAGCTAAGCCTGGATTATAGTGGCCATTCACAGGCGTGACCATAGCTCACTGCAGTCTTGAGCTCCTGGGTTCGAGTGATCCTCCACCTTCAGCCTCCCCAGTAGCTGGGACTACAGGCAGCTGAGGTGGGCCCTGTCTGGGCATGGATTTTTGTCTGTTTTGTTCACTGCTATCTTCAGTGCCTAGGGCAGTAACGGGCACAGAGTCAGTGCGTAATAAATAGATCTTATTTGAAAGGATGAGTGGAATGTGGCAAGAGCATCCATAGATATAGGAGCAAAGTGCCCTTGGATGACAGGTAAGGGAGGGCTTCACTCTTCCCTGGGGGCGATGGGAGGCTCAGGCAAATGGGCATCCTTCAGGTTGGGCTTGGAAGGGTGAATAGGAGCTCACTGAGAGGCAGAGGGCAGAAGGGCTTGCTGAGTATTAGAATTAGATGAGAATTCAGAGCTCTTTGGCCCAACTTCTTCATTTTATGGATGGCAGACAGGAGAGTGAAGAGTGACTAGCCCAAGGCCACCATTTGGTTTATGGCCATGCTGGGAGTGGAATTCAGGTATGCTTAGCCCAGTAGGGTACCATTCAATCCTAGTAACAGGTGCTCTTTTCTCAAACCTTCTACTTTCCTTGGGCAGCAAGAAGATCCTCCTCCAATAGCCCTAGTTCTTGTACCTTGTAGGACTGGGACCTCCCCTCCCCCACTCCAACAAAAGGTAAATGAGCACCTGTCAGAAAGGCTGAGAGAGAATCTGTTGTTTTTAGGGGGTGTTGGGGGTGGTGGGGGAAGGGGTTAGAAGGAAGTGGCAGGCACTGAAATCGCTAAAATTTCTCTTTGTGGGTCTGAGTTATATGACGGTACCTAGATACTTGGAAACCCCTGCCACCACGCATATACACATTAAATATATTTATTATTCCTTCATTTCTAAAAAGAGTTAGGCAGGGTGATAAAAATATAAAACCCATTGTGCTGATGGTTACACAACTCTGTGAATATAGGAAAACAATTCAATTGTATGCTTTAAATGAGCGAATTGTATTATGTGTGAATTAAATCTCAATAAAGCTGTTTTTTTAAAAAAAGATTTCAGTAGCTTAATCCAGAGACTGAGACTGGTGGTGGAGAGCAAGTCCTTAAAGAGATCCTTAGAGCAGGCTCAGGCCAAGTTTCACAAGGCTGTGTTCTTATTCATTTATTTATTTATTATTGAGACAGGGTCTCACTCTGTTACCCAGGCTGGAGTGCAATGGCACAATCATAGCTCACTGTAGCCTCGAACTCCTAGGCTCAAGCAATCTTCCTGCCTCAGCCTCCTGAGTGGCTGGGACCACAGGCATGTGCCACTGTGCCTGACTAATATTTTTTATTTTTTGTAGAGATAGGGTCTTGCTATGTTGCTCAGGCTGGTCTCAAACTCCTGGTCTCAAGCAATCCTTCCACCTTGGCCTCCCAGAGTGCTGGGATTATAGGCATGAGCCACAGTGTTCAGCTCTGAATAGCTTTAATGTTTTTCTTAAGGCATGCATGATGTAAAAAAAAGTACATAAAGGTTAAAAAGTCATGATAAAAAAATCACTTGAAAATATACCTCCTATATAATCTTAGATCTATAATTGGGAATTCCACGAACAAATGGACATGGCCTGAAATGGTTATGAAAAATAATGTCATTCATAAGTAATTAAAATTATACTCCATGTATGTGGCCTGGGAGGAGGGGAGAAATGGAGTAGAAGAAAGAAAAGGGAATATACCACCTAAAGAAAGATGCTGTTAACATTTGGTGGCCATCCTTCCAAACAGTTCTCTGTGCTCTAAACACCTATAGATGTAATTTTGTGTAAACAGAATCATATTTTTCAGTACCTGCATTTATCAATATGGCATGGGTAGCTTTTTGTGTCAACATAAATCTATATGATCATTTTCAGTGGATGTAGAGTATTCTGTTGTATACAGGCATCTGTATAACTGTCCCTAAATAGAACTTAGTGTTGGACCTTTAAGGTGTCTTTCAATTTTTTCTTTATTAGAAATGAAATTGTAATTAACTTCATTGTACAAAAACGTTTGTGCAAATCATTGCCTGTTTCCTTAGGTCACTTTTCTGGAAACAGAATCACTGGGACAAAGGGTAGGCCTTTTTGATTCATTATGCCAAAAGACTGTCCAGGAAAGCGTTGGTCTTTTTCACTTTATCAGGCTGTTTCTTAAACAGCTCTCCATCTCGGCTGGCAGTGTAAATTCAGATCCAGATGCTGGGGCCAGTAGGATGTGGCCCAGGGATTCAGCTCTTTCCAGCTTCCCCCCCTTTTTTTTTTTGAGACAGAGTCTCACTCTGTTGCTCGGGGCTAGAGTGCCATGATGTCAGCCTAGCTCACAGCAACCTCAAATTCCCTGGATCAAGTGATCCTTCTGCCTCAGCCTCCCAAGTAGCTGGGACTACAGGAATGCGCCACCATGCCCGGCTAATTTTTTCTATATATTTTTAGTTGGCCAATTAATTTCTTTCTATTTATAGTAGAGACGAGGGTCTCGCTCTTGCTCAGGTTGGTTTCAAACTCCTGACCTCGAGCAATCCTCCTGCCTCGGCCTCCCAGAGTGCTAGGATTACAGGCGTGAGCCACTGCGCCCGGCCTCAGCTTCTCTTTTTACACATACTGCTAGTTCTAGGGTCTCCAGAGGATGGACGGGCTCTGTACTCCCTCCGGGCAAGCTTCCTAAATACAGCTGTTTCAGCTGAGAGCTTTGCTATGCATCGGACAGGCCCGGGGTGGCGGTCTTCCTTTCAGATGAGTGCTGAGGACAGTGACCCTTGGTGGGCAGTCTAGGGCAGAGCCTCTGGCTTTCTTTCAGCCAAGCTGGGGGCAGGACTGAGTCACCTTTAGAAAGCCAGAGGGGCCTGACCAGCCACCAGGCCTGGACAAAAGGCCAAGCTGCCTGACAGGAACAAACTCGGAGAGTGCCTCGACACTCAGAGGCGATGTTGGAAACTGCCAGAGCAGAGCCTCCAGGCTGGGCCTAAGCCAGAGGAGGGCCTCGTGCCCAGATGTCGTCTGGAGACGGGGCGCAAAGCTGCTATCCTAGCGCAAGGCCACCACGACTTAGCCTGGAAAAATGAAAGCAGCTTCCCCAAACACCTACCTCAGCCGTTAAAAAAAAACAAAAAACTAAATTATATATCACAGGTAACCTTTAGCTTTGAGCAATTAGCTTTCTGATGAGGATGCCAAGAAAAACTAGTTACCTAACATAAACCTAGTAAGAGAATGAGGACACTTGCTGTAGGAATTTATTAACCGTAAGGTGGGAAAGTCTGGAGGCGTCTACAAAGTGTGAAGTTGGATGTTAAGATTGTTGAACCCCAGCCCTGTGCTACGTTGTGCTTAGCAGGAACTGGAACCGCCCACGGTCCGTGATGAGAGCGCCATGCCATCTTCCGCTTCTCCGTAATGGGATGGCGAGCATTCAGCTCATCCCCAAACAGGACCCAGTAGTTCAGGGATAAGTGACAAGGGACAGAGGGCCACCCTGCTACATGTTTCCCCCCTTGGAAACTGTTAGGTGGTCTATGAAGAGGCCACTGCTACTGATTCCTCCCCCTGCAGTGGCATCGGGGGACACACTTCAACGTGGTGGCCTGCACGGAGCCCCTGCAGCTTAACTAGAGTCCAAGGCCACAGAGGCGGAGGGAGGAAAGGCCCAGAGCAATGCAGCGTCATGCCCTCCTTCCAGGCGAGTGTCTGGGCTGTGTGTAGACTCCTAACCCTGGCAGGCCCGGCGGTATATACCACACAATAAACCAGGGACACTGAAGGTTGTCCTTTGAAGGCAGAGAATGGGACCTGGGCCACCTAGTGATTAAGGGATGGGGAGGAGGGGAAAACACAACAGAGGCTGTTTGGGGGTGGAGGGGCAGAAGCTCAGACGTTCCGGGGAAACTGGATCACAGTGCAGGCTAAATGGCCACAGCTGGTGGAGGGATCGCGGGAAGCGTGGAGAAGCTGCAGTGCAGGGGACTGAGTGGAGCCAAGTGCTGGGGGAGGACACCACCTAGCTGAGAGCTGAGGACTGGTGCCGGCTCCAGGCTTCAGGCTCAGGAGGAGGCCTGGGAGCAGAAGGGGGAGCAGGCGAGGCAGGAAGTAGAGGCAGGAAGTAGAAGGGGAATAATTAACAGCCCGCCCCTGCCAGACTAATGGTCACACGGCACCAAGCCGGGGAAGGTCCACAGTCTGGGCTGGCCTCCCCTGCCTGGACAACGGGGCTTTCTGGGATCTCCTTCAGGGGGCTTTAGTGGTTTGTGTGAAGCATGCCCCAGAGGGCTGAGAAAGGATGGCTCAGGAGCTGAGGGGACATCTTTGAAAAGAAACCTCTAAATCCCATGGCCCCTCACTGGCTGGGCCATCACAGACTGCAGAGCAAAAGGATGGGAAAGGGATGGAGTCTGTATAGGGAAGAGGAGACGAAAGTAGGGGTGTGGGTTCCAGGCGGAGGATGTGAGTTGCCACCTGGCCGGGCTGTCATCCCTCACCCCCCTTGCCCGGCTTCCAGGGCATGATTGTCAAGAACTCTGGGTCTGCAGAATCAGGTGAGGTCACCTTTGGGGTAACCTGTGGGGAGGAAGGAGCCCCCCCCTCCGTCCCCCCCCCCATAGCCAGGTCACAGCTCTCCTGAGGCTGGGGACACAAGGTCAGCCTAGGCAGGGCAAGAGCGGCAGGTCCCAGGACTCAAATCTGTGACTCAGCAGCCATCTCTTAGCCTGGAAAGAGGGACCCATAGGGCCTGCCACGCCTGGCCCAAGGTGGGGGAGGGGGTGGGCAGACAGAGAGTGTCAGTGCTTAATAATTAATGGCTTTTTCTATTTTTACAGGTGCTTGTGGCAGTGGGCAGAGAGAACACAGTGAAAATCTAGGACCTCATGTGTCCTGACTGCTCCTCTTCGCTGGGACAGAGCAGCAAAGTCAAACAGGATCTCTATGGCCACGCTTCTAGAAAGTGAAGCTGGGACCTACCCTTGGGACAGGGGGAAACAGACATGCAGGGGAGACCAGGTGGCTATAGGAGAAAACCACTTCCCGGACCACTCAGTACAACCAGGCAGCAGCGGGGCAGATGAGAATTTGGGGATTGGGTGTTGGGAAGGGGGACACAATGGTCATCTGATCCCCAATGTAGCTGGACTTTGGCCCCAGCCCCATCCCACCATCCAGGTCCCCATGCCTGGCCCCCAGGTAACTATGCCTGGGACTTCCTCCAACCCCCCCCCCACCTACTTTCTAGTCTTCTCATATCCCTCCATGTCCTGGTACAAGCACCCCTTCCCCTGAAGTGCCTGCCTGCTCCCCTTCCTTCTTTCCTTCCTCCCTCTGCCTGGGGAGCCCCTCTCCGCCCTCCAGCTCCAAGGGGCCTCCGAATACACCCGAGTCTCTGTTCTCAAGGTGGCGGGGTGGAGAGCTGCAGAACCCCTCGCACTCAGACAGATTGTCAGTCTCAGCCCATTTCTGTTTCCTCTGATGTAATGCAGAGTCCCCCAAGGGTAGAAACTACGTCCCCAGGCTCAGCACAGAACCTGGCCATGGCAGGTAGACATCTGGTTTTTGGCAGAAACTTCCAGTTTCTTCTGAGATTATCTCATTTCTGGTTTTCCTCTTTGTTCCTGGGCTCTGGCTACCACTGGGGCTGCTGGGCCAGCCTGCCTGCTGCAGACCAGCAGGGCCAGAGAAGTAGGGGCCTGCAGAGCCCATCTCTCACCCAGCCCCAGAGTATGGCCACCCAGCCCAGCTGGAACCTCGGCTACCTCTCCCTCTTGAGAAGCCGCACATCTCCCACATCTGGGCCAGGCATGGTGTCAAAGCCTTTATTAGGGGTGCAGGGATTAAATGAGACAGCAATAATATTAGCATCTGCCTCCCCGAGTGCCATCTTCCCAAGAAATCAGCTTCCAATCTTTCCTGCTAAGCCTGCCTCTTCCAGGAAGCCCTCCCATTATGGGCACTGCTTCCTGTGCCCATAATGCTGAAGTTCCCAGACTTAGTTACAAGCCCACCTCTTTCACCTGCCAGAGTACACCTTGAGGGTCAGGGCTGTAGCTATTAGCAGCTCCCAAGATGGTGCCTGGCACTAAGTGGAGCTCAATAGGTGTTTGTGGAAAAGGTTTGAGGGTAGTGCCCAGTATTGGGCAGGGGTTTGCCAGAGTCAGTGCAGGGCATCTCACTCCGGGCAGGAAGGCTGAGGCTAGAGGCCAGGCCATGGACCACGGCAGGGTCTAGCGCAGCACTGCAAGTCCCACACTGGTCCCCTGGAGGCTCTGATTAACCTACAGTCCTGAGCACGAGCCCAGAGCCTCATCTGCCAGTGAATCTCGGCTGCACGGGGAAGTGGGTCAGGGCCAGGAAACAACGGCTCTGGGATCTGGGGAGACGTCTCTCACATTGGGCCAAGGCCATCCCTCTGGGGACCAGAGTATGAGCACACCAGGGCAGGGCATGCACACACTGCACCAGACTTGTTATCTATGCCCCCACCATTCCCCTAGGCTTGCTGGCGACTGCGGGAAGGTCACTTTCCCTGGACAAGGTTCCTCACGGCCAGCGGCTCTGACCGTTCAAGAATGAGGCATCTCGTGGGAGGAGAGGGAGGATTTGACTCCACTCCCACTGGCCTCCTCCTCCTTCCCGTCCCAACAGCCCCGCCCCCTACTCCAGTGATGTCACTTAGGCCACCTCATCACCAGCTTCTAACCCCCTTCCAGTCGCCCTTTCTGCCCTCAGATGGGGGTGGTGGTGGTGGAGGTGGCTCTCTCTTTACTGGGGCTCTAGTCGGGCAGGGTGTCCGGAATCCCCACACCCAATGCCCTTCAAACCATAAGCCATTTGGAAGGGGGCCGGGAAGAGAAGGGCCAGGACTTCCCCGTGGTGAAGGCGGGTTGGAGACTCGGCTTTCGGCTTCTTCACCAGCATGATCCCTGAACCACTCCTCCCTGGGTAGGAAGCGAGTTGGGGAAACTTTCTGGGAGTCTTAGACCTCATAAATCCTGGCAGGGACGGGTGCTGCTGCGTTTGGAATGAGATAACTTCCCTCTACACGCACACACAATCCTGCCAGCAAAACATAGCGAGCGAGCCATCTCCCGGCCTCCGGAGACTCCCCGCCGGCACTCAGAGTCCCTAACAATGCTGGGGACAGCCCGGCGGTGGCTGCCTCTACGACGGGGTGGGCGAGCTGGATGGCTGCTGCTCTGTCGTCCGGGGAAATAGGAAGGCCGCCCCCCACTTCTGCAGGTCTCTGCCCGTCCGGGCCGCGGCTTCCCGTGCAGCGCCCCCTCTCTCCTTGTCCCTGTTCTCCAAACGCATCACTCCTCGGAGTCGGGCGCGCCTGGTCCAGCCCAGCCCTTCCCGGGTGATACCGCCCAACAATGGAGTAGCGGACAGGGGTCGCGGGGCGCACCCGCCTTTCCTGCCCTGGTCACCCCGGCGCTCACCCTGCTCCAGGTCCTGCTGGTCGTACCAGGGCTCCTCTTCTTCTGCGGAGAAGTCCTCCATCCCGGCGGCTCTCCGCATGGCCCGCGGGCGGCGGGCGGGTGCTGCGGCGGCGCGGCTCAGGGCCGGGGCGCGGGGCCCGGGACAATGCGACGGAGGCGGGCCGGGCCTCCCGCGTCGCGGACTCCGGCTGCAGCGCCCCAGCTCGCGCCGCGCCCCTTCGCCATCGGCCGCCGGCCGGGAGCCCACGCGGGGCCTGGCGCGCCCCGCGGTATGGCCGGGCCGGGGTCCCGCGGAGCCCGGGCGCCGGGCGGCGGCAGCACAAAGGGCGGAGGGGTGGGGACGGCGGCTGGGACGGCGGCAGGGAGGGCCCGGGCCCGCAGGCAGGTTCGGGGCGCTAGGAGCGCGCGGGTGCCGCGACGGGCGCCCCCTGCCCGGCTCCGGCTCGCGCTGCCCCCGGCCCACCCCGGCGACACCCGGAGCCGCCGCTGCATCTTGGCGGAGCCCGCCTGCCGCCTCCAGAGCTCCGCTCCGCAGGGTGGGGCCGGCCGCCGCTGGCCAATCAGGAGGCGTATGCAAAGATGGAGGCGGGGCCTGGGCGGGACCTTCCTGCACCCTGGTCTGGGAATCGCTGAATCAACCCCGTCGTCCTCCTTCCCTCCAAGCCGACTCCTTCAGTTACGTCTCACTACCTGAAATTACTTTATCTTGTTTATTTGTTGTCACCTCTCTGCATCTCCTGAAAGCAAGGATTTTGTCTTTTCCCCAGCTAGCTCCTCAGCGCCTGGAACAGGCTGGCCCCATTGATATCTTCCATGGACATTCCTTGAATGAATGAACATTAATTTACAATTATCTTTAAGGAGTTGAGTGTTTGGATGCTTGTGGCAGAAAACTGCTGGCCAAGTATGGCGAAGTTTGAGGATGTGCTACCTGTATTCTGTACCTTTCTTATTTTTATTTTTTTGAGACAGAGTCTCACTTTGTTGCCCAGGCTAGAGTGAGTGCCGTGGCGTCAGCCTAGCTCACAGCAACCTCGAACTCCTGGGCTCAAGCAATCCTGCTGCCTCAGCCTCCCGAGTAGCTGGGACTACAGGCATGCGCCACCATGCGCCGGCTAATTTTTTTCCATATATATTAGTTGGCAATTAATTTCTTTCTATTTATAGTAGAGACGGGGTCTCACTCTTGCTCAGGCTGGTTTCAAACTCCTGACCTCGAGCAATCCACCCACCTCAGCCTCCCAGAGTGTTAGGATTACAGGCGTGAGCCATGCCCGGCCTGTACCTTTCTTTTTACGATTATGTTTCACCCTCCCCTTTGGACCCATGTCCTATACACAAATATACTCCTTAAAACCATACACAGTTTCACCTATCCAAGCAGTCTTTCCTTAAAGGAGTTTTCAGACTCAAACATTCATGTAACTCATTTTTATGGGGACCCACCATATGCTGGTACTGTTGAGGTACTCCCAGTATATCCCACTCTGGATACATGTTGCAATATACCTACCAAAAGATTTGTATAGAATATAGAAAGAACACATGCTGATCCATAAGAAAAAGGCACCCAAGCCAGCAGAGAAATCGGTAACAAGACTTGACCAGGCAATTCACAAAAAAGAATATCTAAATGATCCAATAAACATGGAACAAGGTACTCAACTTCTTTAGTCATAAGAGAAATGCATGTTAAAACTGCAAGGGGTACCACTACCTACTCACCTGAGTGGCTTTAAAAAAAGGACAGACAATACCTAGTGTTGGCAAGAGTGTTGAGCAACAGAAACTCTTTCACACTGCTGGTGGGAATATACATCAGGGCAACCACCTTAGAGACCTGCTTGGTAATATCCATGAAAGCTGGACACAAGCTACTGTCGCAGGTTGTGTTTCCAGGCAGCTGATCCCGAGATGGAGAGTGACGTGCAGGAAGTGGATCAGGGCATGCTTGCCGGGTCAGCACCCGAGGAAAAGGGAAGGAAGCAGGGGTGGAGAGAGGGAGAAGCTGGGTTGGTATGTTGGCCTCTGCAGTCGCCTCCCCTGACCCATGAAGAGCTCTGAATCTGGGGTGACCCTTCAAAACGATTGTGAGTGTCAGCAGGGGAAGGGACTTTCATATCCACCCATCTCCACATATCATCCAGCCACTCAGGCTGCCCCTGGGAAACGTGTGTGACCTCAGCCAAAGGAGCTCTTTTCAGCTGAGGCCTGCCAGCTGGGACTGCCAGCCAGCAGCAGCTGGGGGACTAGGTCCTTCTGTCCTGAAGGAGAGTCAGGGATGCATCACAGCAGCGACCCTATATGTTTACCCTATAACCCAGCAATTCTATTCCTGTATATGTGCAACAGAAACACGTCGGTAATGTTAGCCGAAAGACATGTGCAAGAATGTTCATAACAGCACTATTCATGATAGCCCACGCTGGAAACAACTCAAATGTCCATCAACAGTTGACAAATAAAATGTGGAATGTTTGTGTGATGGACTATTATATAGTACAAATAAAAATGTTGCATGAAAGATGCCAGATGCAAAGAGTAAATGCTCATGTTCATTTCTCACTGATTCTGTAACAAATGACCCCACATTTAGAGCTTGAAACAGCACAAATGTATTATCTTACAATTCTGTGTGTTAGAAGTCTGACACGGATCCCACTGGCTAAAGTCAAAGCATTGGCAGAGCTGCGTTCCTTCTGGAGGCCCCAGGAGAGAATCTGTTTCCGTTTCTCCTCCACCTTCTAGAGGTTGCCCACGTTCCTTGGCCTGTGGCCCCTTCTTGCATCTTCAAAGCCAGCTACAGAATGGGGAGTCCTCTCATAGCACATCACTCCCACCTCTTCTGCCTCCCTCTTGCCTACACTTGGGATTACACTGGGCCCACCGAATAATCCGGGATGATCTCTCTATCTCAAGATCCTCAATTTAATCACATCTACAAAGTCCCTTATGCTGTGCAAGGTAACATATTCAGAGATTCTGGGGATTAGGACATGGATATCTCTGGGGGTCATGATTCTGCCTTGCAATACAGTGTGATTCCATTTTTACAAAGTTCAAAATTAGCAAAACTAATCAGGATAATGTTTGGCTTCAGGAAGATATGGGGAACTCTAAGGGGCTGGGAGTGGTGTTGTAATTAAATTAAATTAATTTTTATTTAAAAAAATTTAAAAGCCTGGTTGCAGTGGCTCACGCCTGTAATCCTAGCACTCTGGGATGCTGAAACAGGAGGATTGATTGAGGTCAGGAGTTTGAGACCAGCCAGAGCAGGAGCAAGACCCCAGTCTCTATGAAAATAGAAAAATTAGCCAGATGTGGTGTGTGCCTGTAGTCCCAGCTACTTGAGAGGCTTAGACAGGAGGATCACTTGAGCCCAGGAGTTTGAGGTTGCAGAGAGCAATGATGACATCATTGCACTCTAGCCCAGGTGACAGGGTGAAACCTTGTCTCAAAAAAATTTTTTTTTACTGTGATAAAATACATATAACATAAAAAAGGTATTTTTTTCTAAGTGGACAAAGTAAACCAACATTTACCATGTTAACCATCTTATTAATAAATGTACAGTTCACTGGTATTAAATACATTCATGACACGCTGTAACTGTCACCAACATCCATGTCCACAACCCTTTTCATCTTGTAAAACTGAAACTCTATACCCATGAAACAATAACTCCACATTTGGGAGCATTTTATTTCCTCATCTGGGTGCTAGTTACACAGGTGTGTTCACTTTGTGAAAATTCATCTTCTCGAACATTTAAGACGTGTGCACTTTTCTGAAGATATATTATACTTTAATAAAAAATTTACTTAAGAAAAATAGCCACCCTATGGCTGGGACTTAGGCAGTCTCTGCTCTTGTGTAGCTTTTATTCTAGTGGGGAGACATATAATGAATTATTACAAACTGCAATGCCAGTATGCGGAGAGAGAGAGTTTCGGGAATGGTTTAGTTTCCGCATTCAAGAGAAGCCTCTCTCAGGAGTTGACATCTAAGCTAATACTGAAAGGATGAGGCAGCAGCTGCCGGGCCAAGCTCTGGGGGGAGAGTGCTCCAGGCACAGGAGATAGCAAGGCCAAAGGCCCTGAGGCAGGACAGAGCTTGACAGATATTAAGAACTGAGCAAAGTGGGGAGAGGAGAGATGAGATTAACTCTTTAGGGCCATGGGAAGGGGCTGAGATATTTTTTTCCGAAGTGGACAAAGTGAATCAAAAGGAGGTTTTTATTTTCATTTGTGAAATACCACTTTGGTAGTTTCGGAGTATGGAACGGAAGAGGAGCAAGAAGACAAGTTTGGAGGCTTTGGCGGTAGTCTAGAAGGGCGGTAACAGTGGCATGGGCAAGCCCGTGGCAGTGGGGATGGAGAGAGATGAGAAATGTCTGGGGTTGGAACTGACAGATGTGTAGATGAATCGACTGGGAATCAGAGGGACATCTTAGATTTATTAATAGCTCCAGTCACTGGGCAATGATGATACCATTTATTGAGATGTAGACAAAATGAGTCTAAGAGGCAAGCAGGTTGGGGGGCTGAGTTCCAGAGGGGTCTGGTCAGGACCCCAGCCCACCTGATAGTCAGAGATTCTGTCTCTACATGTCCCGCAACTGTTCCCCATTTCTTCATTCTGCAGCTCTGTGGGACGGTACTCACAGGGGCCAGGGCTGTCCCAGGGAGCTTAGGAAGTCCCTAGAAGCAAGTAGGGGCTGATGGGCAAAAAGCGGAGGGCCAAGTCCTGGGGAGCGCTCCCTCAGTTTCCCTCACCTAGGCATCGAGGATGATTGCAGGGCCTCCCTTCAGGGCCTCCCTCTTGTTGGAGCAGTTAAAGGCAGCCCTGAAGCTGCAGGTTCACCTTCAGCTCCTGCAGCTAAGGATGCTTCAGTGACAACCTACATGACCCCAACGTTTGAAAAATGTCCAGCTCCTGGGTCATCTCAGCCTTTAGCCTTGACGACACTGGCCACGCCTTCAGCATGCTTCTACCTTCATTCTCTCCTTTTCTGCAGCCACCCTCCTCCTGCCCTGGCCACAGGAGCATTGCCTGGCAAGGATGGACAGTCCCTGTGTCAGCCAGTGGGGACTGGGGATGTGGTGGCATCTCTTTTTCCAGAGGCCCAAACATGCGGGTGGGAGGAGGTGGGATTCTCAATGCTGGGCCCACGCACTGGGCGGGGTGATTCAGGCACAATGGCAGTCCCCTGGGTCCCATGAGGCTGGTGTTGGGCTGGGGGGGTGAGCTAAGCTGGGCAACTGGTGCAGCCAGGGTGGTGGAGCCTCCCCGTGCCCCTCTGCAGGGCACAGAGGACATGGGAGCCCTGGTGACCCTCAGAGCTGTGGGCTGGCTGAGGACCCCACTGCGCCCAGGGCTGATTGGGCTCATCGGAACCCCAGGCTGCTGGCCACTCCCTATGCCTTCAGGGCAGATTTAGTGTTTTCTAAATTATTCCATGAGGAGGAAAACCAGATCTGCCTTTCAAGGAGGAAATTCCTCAGCCTCCCCGGAGCGACCAGCCAACAAATCCCTGGGATCCGTTTCAGCAGCAGGGTGGAGAGCCGGGCCCCAGGAGCAGGAAGTTCGCACCACCTGACCTTGGTAACCCCCAGAGCCTGGCACCTCTTCTGTGCCAGGAAGCGTCTTATGGCGTTCCCTGTTGTGGGCTCTATGCCCCCAAGCCTCGGCCACCGTGATTCCCCTGGGGCCGGTTTGACGCCCCCGCGGCCAGGAGCGTTTGTGCTGCGAGCATCGCAGCCTCCTAGAGCTTCCCAGCAACCGGTCCGGGCCCTGGGTGGGGAGCAGGGCGCAGACACCGAACCCGAGGAGCTCTGAGCCAGCGCGCGAAGATGGAAAGGCCCTCCCCGCGGGCACCGCTTGGGCGCAGGGCGGGGACACTGATGCCACCGCTGGCGCGCGGCCGCCACTGCCCACCCCTGCGGATCCTCCACCTCCGCACCCTGTCCAGCCCAGCCCACCGGAAATGACGGCGAGCGCGCGGGCTGCGCTGACGTCGGAGGGTCCCTGCCACTCCTAGTCGCACTGTCGCGCTGGGGGAGGGGAGGCCGCCCAGCCGCGCCTCTGGGCCCTCGGGACCTCGGCGGACCCCGCACGCCGCGCACCTTGGGTTCAAGTCGAAGGATTAGGCGCCACCAGGAAACCTTCCTCGGGTCCCCACACCCCTGTAGGCAGCACCTCCCTCCCTGTCCCCAGACCCAGTCATGCCAGCGCTGGGAGAACACTGTACCGCATGATCTCGCCCCATGTGTCCCCTCCACCAGTCTGAGGTCAGCGCCTGGCGGGGGAAGGCGCTCAGTACATTCGAGTGAGTGAGGTCATCTGGTGTCCATCCCTCTCTTCCCCCAGGCACCATCTGAGTTTGTTCCAGACAACTGTCTGCTCTGAAAGGGGAATTATTTCAGATTCTCACAGTCCTTGTGGTCAGGAAGTGCCTCCATATGTCCACCTCAAATCCTGCAGTTTTAACCCTCCAGGCCTGTCATCAGTGGAGTGACATTTAGGATGCTTAGGCTGACAGTGTCCACACTCCTCTGGTGCCTCCTCCTGGGGTGGCTGGAGGGTGCACTGAGTTAGTGCGTGCCCGGAGCTCAGACCAGCGATGCAGTGGGAATTGGTGTCTGTAGGCACTAGCACCTTGAATGGTACCTGGCACTTAGCAGATGCTGAGTAAATGTTTGTTGCATGATTAACGGTTGAACTCAGAAAAAGGGTGCCAGGGAGGGCCATGGGGGCCATAGACCAGCAAGTCTTCCTTTTAGGACATGACATGGTTCCAGTATGGGGAAGTCATAGCTAAGAACCTACCTACCAGGGAATCATCAAATTGATAAGGGAGAAATAATTTTTAAAAAGTTTAAATGCTCTGTTTTATTTAATAACAATATTTTTTCTGTACACATCCAGACTTTTTTCTTAATTTTTTTTTTTTTGGTAATTTCTTTCTTTCTTTTTTTTTTTTTTTAAGGTTGGTCAAGTGAGGCAGTGGGAGTGGAGAAGGAAAGGAGGAATCTGTAATTGGTTGTGATCAATTAATTGTGAATAGCACTGCACCTGGCCCAGCCTTAAAATGTTTACTTTAAAAGTTTTCACACATACACACAAGTAGAGAGAATAGTGCAATGAATTGGTTTATTTTAAAAACAGGCCAGGCGCAGAGGCTCATGCCTGTAATCCTAGTGCTCTGGGAGGCCGAGACGGGTGAACTGCTCAAGGTCATGAGTTCGAAACCAGCCTGAGTGACACCTCCCCCCCCCCCCGTCTCTACTTAAAATAGAAAGAAACTAATTGACCAACTAAAAATATACAAAAATATACATAGAAAAAATTAGCCAGGAATGGTGGCGCATGCCTGTAGTCCCAGCTACTGAGGAGGCTGAGGCAGGAGGATTGCTTGAGCCCAGGAGTTTGAGGTTGCTGTGAGCTAGGCTAATGCCACAGCACTCACTCTAGCCTGGGCAACAAAGTGAGACTCTGTCTCAAAATAAATAAATAAAAACAAATCCCAGTCATTAGACCATTTCACCGCTGCACCCTTCAATATGCAAGACTGGAAAATAACTAACAGCATTTAAAAAATATGATCAATGGTGGAATTAAGGAGCATTTTAAGTTTAACTTAGAGAACATAAACAAATGGTGGAGATAAGTGGATATTTTTCCACTTAGATATGTTAGTGGTCCAATTCCTCAGGACAATGTTAATATTTTTTTATGCCATAGTGGGAAGAATGCACAGAGACCTTGTAAGATTTCCTGGGAATGGACGCTCTGATTATCTAAGGAGCAGAATGCCCCCCTGAGAGGGAGAAGACCCTCTGAGGCTGGGTGAAGGTGCACTCATTTAAATCTGTCCCATGAAATCTGGTGAGAAATATGAGGCCCATGTGACCCATAATATTTCAGTGCAACTGGAGTTCCTGGTTGCAAACCATGGAAATGGCTCTGAGTGAAGGACAACACCAAAATGATGACAATTAGACCTGGAATGGTTGGTTAGCACCAGTTCTTCATTCTTTTCTTCCTCTTTTTAAAAGTCAGATTTATTGAGATACAATTTATATATAATAAAATTCACTCCTTTTAGACATACAGTTATTTGAACTTTAATAAACATATACTGTCATGGAACCACCACCACAATCAAAGCATAGGATGTTTTCATCACCTCCAAAAGTTTCCTGACTTCCATTCATAGTCAATTCCCTTATCCTACTCTTGGCTCATGGTAACCACTTGTTTTCTGTCCCTATGGTTTTCTCCTTTTCCAAAATGTCCATAAATAACATAATACAGAAAATTGCCTTTTGTGTCTGGCTTCTTTCACTTAGCACAGTGCTTTTGAGATCCACCTGCATTGTTGCGGCATGTATCAGTACTTTGTTCCTTTTCATTGCTGAGTACTAGTCCCATTGCATGGATGAACCACAAGTTGTTATCTGTTCACCAGTTGATGGATATTTGGTTGTTTACAGTTTTTGGTGATTATGAATGAAATTGCCTGTTGCTCAGGCTGGTTTCAAACTCCTGACCTTGAGCAATCTGCCTGCCTCAGCCTCCCAGAGTGCTAGGATTACAGGTGTGAGCCACTGCGCCTGGCCTATAAGTGGGATTAGTGAGACATATAGTCAATGTAAATTTAACTTTTAAAGAAACTTCTAGATTGTCAGCATTTGGTATTGTCACTTTTTTTCCTTCATAAAAGTAATTCTAATAGGTATGTAGTGTTATTTTATTGTGGATTCAATTTGCATTTCCCAAATGATTAAGATTGAAAGTTTTTAATGTCACTGTGGCCTGGACTCGGGTTGTTGAGTGATTTGTAGAATAGACTAGATTTTTTTAAATGTCAAATAAAGGAACTATTCATTCATTATCTTGGAGTGATTAGAAAAGCCTTGGGCCCTGCCAAGTATTTTGCTGGGGGGGCAGGGAACCACCTCTGGAGAAAGGATAGAGCCCTGTGATTGTGCCCTGTGGAGTCTGTGAAATGGTGACACCCCTGCCACCTCCTCCTGACTGCCACACCTGCTCCACCCTGCCTTTGCACCGTAGTTCTGCACCTAGATTTTGCACTCCTCGTTTTCCATGTGTGGAATTCCTACATAAGCTACACGTCACCTCCTTTTCAAGCAGCCAGGGTCTCCAGAGGCTTCCAGACATATCATGGAAGATGAAGTGGAAAAAGCACAGCCTCATTTGGAGCCAGGCTTGGATTTATTGTTTTTCGGTTTGTTCCTTACTAGTTGAGTGGCTTTGGGAGAGTAACTTAATTGCTTTAAGCCTCAGTTTTCCCAAGTGTAAAATGGGGATTATAATACCAACATCCGAGGTACATATTTATTGTTAGAGATACCATCATATTATTTTTATTATTAATTTTGCCTCTGTCAAAGGCTTGCTCTGTTGTACCACGGCAGATTCTCTCCTCGTTTCTCTCCTAGCTACTGGCTCATAAAGGACAGGCTCCGTGATTTATGGCCCCTGGGCGATCCCTGGCACATGTTGGCAAATACCCGTCCCTCAACACATTTGTCGAAATGGATGGATCTCAAAGGATTCTCGGGGAAGGCAGGCGACTAGAGAGGGACCTCCCGCTCTCATCCGGGAGCCGCGTTCCTGGACCGGGGACACTGCAGCCCGCACCTCCCTCCCACAGGACCGAGGGCTATGGGGCTTGTGGTTGGAATAACTGCGGGCTGTCCGGACACATGGGTTTGACAGGTCAGAGAAAGGGGGACCGAGAGAGCAGATGCTCAGAAAATAAAGGAATGGAGAAGACGGGTCGAAAAGGAGGAAACTCGGGTGGGGCGGCCTGGCTGAGATGTGGGCCTGGAGATGCAGCGAGGATGCAGCGTGAGGATGGGGGCGGGGGGCATAGTGCCGCGAGGGTTTCGGGCCTGGGGACCGCGTGGCAGTGGGGGAGACCGAGCGGGGACAAGGCTCCGACGCAGAAGGAGGCGCGCAGGAGCACCAGGACTGAACCGGGAAGGGCACGAGGCGTGCGGCTGCGCTCGGTTCCAGCCGCGGACCGGAGCGGTGGGCGGCCGGAGCGGCAGGTGCGGGGGGCGGAGCCACGAGGGGGCGGGGCCGACGCCGGGCCGGCGGGCGGGGTGCGCAGCTCGTCTCCTGCGGGAGCAGCGGGGGCCGCGGAGCTGGAGCAGGAGCCCGAGCCGGGGCTGGAGTCGGGGCTGGGGCCGGGCCGGAGCGGGCTCCAGCGACATGGGGTCGGCCGACTCCAAGCTGAACTTCCGGAAGGCGGTGATACAGCTCACCACCAAGACGCAGGTGCGTCCCGGGGCCCCAGCCTCCCCATCTACCTGCCAGGCTGGGGGCTGGGCAGGGCCAGGGGAGGGGGCCGGCACGAACTTGGCTCTCCCGGAGGAGACCGTGGGACTGGCTGGCCTGGAGGGTGACGCTGAGGCCAGCGCCGGAGAGAGACTCCTGGGCTTGTATCCCGGGCTCCATCCCCTGGCCCTAAGCCCCTGTCCCCAGCCTCTCCTCCCAGGGACACCCCTCTCCCTGAAGCCACTGCTGCCACCTTAGGCTGACGTGTGCCTACTCCCTGAGCCAGCGACGCAGCTGTCCGCCCCTGCCCCGCCCCCCAGCACCCCCAACCTCGCCTCTCCAGCCTCCCCCTCCCCCACCCACCCATCCATCTACCCCCGACCCACTCGCCTCCCTGTCCCTTGGTGCCCGCGGGTCCCCGACGCAGGGCTCGGCTGACTCAATGCAAACAAAGCCTGGCCGGCGCCCGCCCGGGCCGGTGAAACAGCTGGCGAGCGGCGGCAGCGGCCTCGCTGGGCCCAGGTCAATGCCGGAGGCCAGGGAAGGCCCGGGGCTTCCTGGAGACACGCAAAGAGCGGCGGGCAGCAGGGCAGCCTGGCAAGGGGGCCTGTTCCCAGGCCTATGGAGCCCGGCTTCCCAGCTGGGGACCACTCTGGGGGTCTTCACCTCCGAGGCCCTGCTGAGGGAAAGGTTGTGTTTGCCGGTAGCCTCTGTTCTCTGGTTCAGGGATGGGGGCCCTCAGGATTGCCCTTGATCTACTGGTGAGGGACCTGGGGGGACCTTTCAGCTTAGTCCACGCTTGTGACTCTACCCAGTCCACAAGTGGCACAGCTGCCACCTCCTTGTCCCCAACAGACACCACTTGGCTCTAGCAGGCTGCTTCCCTGCCCTTCTTTCTTCGCCCCTGGAACCTGGCCACTGCGGCCACAGAGGTGCTCAGGCCTGGCTCCCACATCCCCCACTTTCAAGGGACTCAGGGCCTGGTGCCATCTGGGACCTTCCTCTCCCCCTCCACCCCCCCACTGCTCTCCTGGACTCTCTCTTGCTCCAGGCAGGTGGAGTGGGCTCGAGGGAGCCATCTCCCCTCCCCACAGCCAGCTGGTCACAGCCCGAGCCGTCACACCTCTGGTCCCTCACTCTTGATCCCACCCTGGAAAGGTCAGGTGCCCAGTGAATGCCCAGGGCCCCTGGAGAGTCCAGCCCTAGCTGAAAGGTGCTTGATAGAAACCAGATCTCACTTCTCTCCAGCCGCTCTGGCTCCTGGGTGGTTCTGGAACTTGTCTTTCTTAGGGACTTTAGGTCTGTGGGTGGCAGGGAAAGTGGCAAGTGGGCTAGCTTCTCAATGTGGGGCCACAGGGACAGGAGGGAGGGAGGCAGGGAGGGAGGAGGCTCCCGTGTTTACCTGCCTGGGGAGTAACCACCATGTTGGAGGAATGCATTGTAGGCTCAGCAGCTGGGGTCATTTGCCAGGCCAGCAGGACTAGCCCAGCCAGGTCCCGAAGGATTTGGAGTGTCCTAGTTCCTACCTGCTCAGGCCCTTTCCCCAAAATACTGTGTCCCTCTGTCTTTCCCTGGCAGCAGCCCTGTGACCAGCTGCCTAAGGTGGTGCTATTCCATTTCCCAGCTAAGGACTAGGCTCAGAGTAGGACCTGGATAGGTTGGAGACCAGCCTGTGCCTCCTTCCAGAGAGCACGGGGGTCCTGCAGGTGGGAGGGGACCTGGGCTTGCTGGAGGCAGAGGCCCTCAGTGGCTGAAGCTCAGACCCTGTGTAGTGACCTGGCCTGGGCAGCTTGGGTGTGAGGACCAGATCCCAGATGGTCATCACAGACCTTACCACTTGGTGTCCCCAAGGAGATCAGACCCATAATCCACAGGATGACATCTGGTTCTAGACCCTTAGAGGCTGTGCTTTGGGGAGCAGACAAGTGGACCCAGCACCTTTTCCCATGGCTGGAGCCTGTGCTGCCGCTCGGGCTTCCTCGCCTTCCTGCCCCACATCCTGTTTTCTTCCTGCCCCGTCATCCAGCCCTGGGCCAGGCCTGACCCCGGTCCTGAGGGCCAGCAGGCTGTGTTTTTTAGCTGTGTTTCCTGACGCTTTCCCAGGGTGGGTGGGACCTGGGAGTTGGGAACATTCCCAGTCTTGGAACCCTCTCCCAGATCCTACTTTTCTGCAGGTCTCTACTGCAGGCCTGGTGAGAGCTGGTGGATACGTGGTCACGTGTGTGCACGGGCATGTGTGCACGGGTCACGTGTACACATCTGTATGTGTGCAGCACAGTCCTCCAGAACTGGCTTAGCAGGCAAGAGCTCCATGGTCCTTCCCCCTTCCTCTACCCACCTGCAGTAAGTCCAGAGATGTAGCTGGTCCTCCAGAGCCGAGCAGGGGTCTGGCCTGAGCAGGGGCCTGGCGAAGCCGGGTTAAGAACACCTGGCTTTGTAGCAGGGTAGTTCAGTCTCTGTGCCCTTAGCAGCAGGGTCCTGCTCACGTCCAGCAAAAATACACCTTTTAAAGTACTAGCTCAGATTTTACAAGCTTCCTTGGGTTGGGTGGAGGCCAGTTAGGGTCACTGAGGCAGGAGTTGAGCCATATCCCTCCCATCAGAAGCCTAAGGGACCCCAGTGACCCTGACTAATGACTGTAGCATCAGCCTAGCCTGGTATGGTCAGGCAGGGGTCACTAAATCCAAATGTCCAAGCCACAGTGGGACCAGGAGAAGAGGCCCAAGTTGAGGAAAGAGGGAAGCAAGAATCCTGTTCCTGAAGTTCAAGGCTAACTCCCATAGCTGGGATCTTTCCTCTGCTTCCAGAATGGGCCACCTTGGGGCCTCTTAATTATCTCTCATTTCGGATTGAGTCCCAGTGGTGCTTGTCTGATGAAGTAGGCCAGAGGTCACGTCCGCTTGGTGTTCAGATGAGTTCCTGCTCCTTTAAGTGGGTAGTAGCTACCTGGGAGAGGGGAAGTGTCAGCAATGGCAGCAAGATGGCAGAAGCTCTGGGGGATTTCTGGGATGTTCTTCCTTGCTTCACCCTGGCCCAGGCCACCCAGTGAGTGTCAGAGGGCTGTCCTGGCTGAGGACATGAGGGCCAGCAAACCCCAGCTCCAGGGCCCCTCCTTTGGCCTTTGGTCCTTTCCCCCAACTAACTCGTTCTGCCAGTTCTGAGAGAGCCAGGCCTGTCCTGAGGGCCATGGCCATGCAGCTCCCTGGAGTGGGGTGTGGGGGTACCCCTGGACCTTGGGGAGGCCTGTGACCCCAGCTCTGAGTTTGGAGCAGCGGTGCTCAGCCCTGCCAAGTGAGCAGGCTGAAGAGGTCTCCAGGACTGAGTACAGCTTCAGCTGAGCAAACATTGAGCATCTGCCCTGTGCCTCAGCTGCAAGGTCAGGGAAGATGGGCTGGCAGCCTGGGTTTCAGGCAAGTACCCCTGAGCTGAGGAGTCAGGGACCATGCTGGGTGGGAGCCAGCCAGCAGTCTGGGGCTCCTGGAAGAAATGATTTCAGAAACAAAATTACTTTTTGACAAGCCATATATATTTTTTCTGTTTATAAGAGTAATGCATACAAAGTGCAGACTGGTGCTGGTAGCAGGGCCCTCGGGCTTTACAGGCTATAGGGTTTCAGAGAAGGGAAAAGGCTGTGTTGGAGCAGCCAGGGAAGGTGTCTCGCAGGAAGTGATATTCAGAAGGAACCTTAAAGGATGGGCCTGAGGGTGGTGAGCATGCCTTGGACACTCTGGCCCCTTGACAGGTGAGTATCCAAAAAAGAACAAGTAGGCCAGGCACAGTGGCTCACGCCTGTAATCCCAGCACTTGGGAGGATCACTTGAGGCCAGGAGTTTGAGACCAGCCTGGGCAACATAGTAAGACCCTGTCTCTACCAGAAAACAAAAACAAATGAACAAAAACAAAAACAAGAAATAGTAACATGTGCTCTTACAGAAAAATATAAAATCTCCCGAAGAGGTAGTTGCCTTTTACGTTCTGGTTCATTTTCTTCTAGTCTTTTATTAATAAACACAGAATTGTGATCATCCTACATGTAGTTTTATATCTTCTTTTCCAATAACACTGTGTGTATTTTTCATTGGTTAATATTCTTCAAAGGTGAGATTTTGATGGCTGCATAATATTCCATTGTAGGCATGTGCCTTAGTTTTTTAAGCATTCACTGCTTATTGGTCATGTAAGTTCATTCCAACTTTTCACTGTTATAAAAAACAAACATCCTCATACATGCATACATACGTCTCTAAGCATTTCCTTAGAAGAGATATCTAGAAGTTAAATTGTCGATGCAGACTCGTTGCCTTGGTTGCCTGTGTGACTCTCTGCATAGATGATGCAGAGAGCATGCATGTTTTTAAGGAGTATTGCTGCCGTAGGACCAGTTGGATTTGGAAGGCATTGTTCAAGGAGCGGGAACACTGGGGAGAGGGGACAGCCTGGGTAAAGGTAGAGAGAAGAGATAGTGGGGTCATGTCCTAGTGGTAGTAAATGCAGGCGTGTGTCTGTGCATACATGTGTGCATGTGTATTTATGTGTAAGGCATGTTTAGGTAAGATCTTGAGTGAGGGTAGGGCCATGGTTTGGACGAAGGTCTTTGTGTGAGGGAGCGTCACCCTTGGCATTGTGCTCGGGCACAGGGGCTGGGGCAGCGTGGAGGCAGGACTGGAGGAGGTGGATTTGGAGGTGGGAGCCCTGGTGCGAGCAGCCTGAGCCGCAGTGCTGGGAGGAGTGTGCTCGGCTCAGAGAGCCGTGGAGGTCGGATGCACCAAGTGTGGCACCTGTTGGGTGGGCTTTGAGATGGCAGAGGCTGGACGACTGGGGTGGGGGTGCATCTTGGGTGACTGGAGGCAGAGTGCATGTCCCCTTTGTTTTCTTCCCTGGGCATTTGACCTAATGGTGTGGCCTGGGGCTGTGCCCACGTGGGGAGGTCTGCCCTGCCAGAGGAGGGTGGTGACTTAGCCAGGGTCACCCAGGCTCTCAGGGACTGGGCTGGGCTTTGGCTATTGGATTCAGTGCCCAGCTGACCCCTGACCATGCACGCTGAGTGCTCTAGCCTGACTGTGCTGGCCAGGGCTGCCTGTGGCTGAAAGATGTCCCCACCCATGTGGAGAGGCTCCTGGCACCAGCTGGATGGAATATGGCTTCCCTCTTGGGGGTCTGTCCTGGCCACAGGTTGGGCAAACTGTGGGTCCATTGGCAAGGGGTCATGTAACTCTGGACCCTGGGTATCCCCACAGCCCGTGGAAGCCACCGATGATGCCTTTTGGGACCAGTTCTGGGCAGATACAGCCACCTCGGTGCAGGATGTGTTTGCGTTGGTGCCGGCAGCAGAGATCCGGGCTGTGCGGGAAGAGTCACCCTCGAACCTGGCCACCCTGTGCTACAAGGTGAGGGAGGCCCCGCCCCTTGCAGCCACTGCCTGCCAAGCCATCTTCCACCTCCCCAGGGCAGCTGACAGTGGCCCAGCCTTCAGTGGGAGAGGCCAGGCACTCAAAACTTCCCACCCTCAGGTCCGGGCAGTCCTGAGGCTTCACCCAGTTCTCCCCCTAGCCTAGGTAGTTCTCCTGCAGGGGAGGTGACCATTAATGAGAGTTCCTCCAGGCTACACCTTGCTGAGCACTTTCCACAAATCAGCTCCTTCAGCTCACCCTGGGAGGTGGATACTGCTAGTGTTGCCTTTTTACAGATGAGGAAACTGAGGCCGAGACTGGTGTCATCACTTAGCAAGGTCTCGGCCATCCAGTTGTGAGCTGGGCACCCCTGATGCTCTGAGCTGCTCTGGTCCACATCCTGGTCCCCTGGGCTGGCCCCGTCTGCAGAGATGAGACCCTGCCAGGTGGCTCCTCTGCCTGTGGCTCCATGCTCCTCCCTTTCTGTGGCCTCAGCGCCCACCCTGACCCCAAGTGCCAGGGCCCTACTCCCCCTTCCAGCATGTCCCTCTGTTCCTGTCGGTCCCTGCAGGCCGTCGAGAAGCTGGTGCAGGGAGCCGAGGGCGGCTGCCACTCGGAGAAGGAGAAGCAGACCGTCCTGAACTGCAGCCGGCTTCTCACCCGCGTGCTGCCCTACATCTTCGAGGACCCCGACTGGAGGGGCTTCTTCTGGTCCACAGTGCCCGGGGCAGGGCGAAGAGGGGTCTGTGGGCCTGGCCAGGGCTGGGTGGGAGGTAGAGTCGGTGTCACAGGGAGAGTACCTTTCAGGGCCGGCCACAGTCCTCCAGAGCCCCTGTGGGATCTGGGAAGCAGGGGTGGGGCAGGCAGCAGGGTTGCTGCGGAGGGTGGTGGTCAGTGCCGCTGCCTCGGGCCCTCGGGTCTTCTCCCGCTTGGCTCTGCCCCCCAGCCTGGAGGCGGTAGCTGTGGAGAGAAGCCGGGAGCGGGGTGGCTGGGCAGAGATGGGCCTAGGGCCGTGGGGCCTTCTGAGGGCCCAAGAGGGACCCTACTGCCCTCTCTCAGCCACCTCGCCTGCGCTGGGCTTGTCTCAGGCGAGGTGCCGTGGGGTGGGGCGCAGGGATTCCCAGCAGGGCTGAGGCTCTTGAGGTCAGGGGACACCACCTGGCCCCATCCCAGTTGCTGTTCCTGGGCCTGGCTCCCTGCTGAGCCCCCCTCTGTCTTCAGAGGTTTGGGGCCACCTGGAACCCCCCCATCATCTCCTGCCCATCATGCTGCCTGCTTGGGCCCAGTTCCTGTCCTCCACCCCCTCCCCCAAGCTCTGGGCCCCGTCTCCCTGGCCAGCCACCACTGAGGTGGCCTGTGGGTGCCTGTTCCCAGCAGGGGGAGGAGGACGACGAGAACGCCCGGCCCCTGGCCGAGTCCCTGCTCCTGGCCATTGCCGACCTGCTCTTCTGCCCGGACTTCACGGTCCAGAGCCACCGGAGGAGCACCGTGGTGAGGGCGGCTGGGGCGGGCTCTGGTCCTGGTTGGGGCTGGGCCAGCCGAAGTTCCCTTGGGCAGGATGCTTCGGGGGTGGGGGTGCTCCGGGAAAGCTGAGCCGCCTGGCACGCGCGGGCCTGGATCGGGGGCGGTGGCTGGTGCAGCTGGAGCGGAGCCAGCTGGGCTGGCCCTTGCTGCTGCATCCGGGAGGCTGGGCACAGGCACCCATTGTCTCTGCCCGCTCAGGCTTGGGAGGAGCCGGGCTTGGACGCTGGAGGCCTGGCCCTCTCACTTCCTGTGGTCCCAGGGACTCGACCTTGAGTGCTCTCTGCCCCCACCCCACACACCACCACGACACCCCATTCCCTGCCCCTCCCTCCCTCTCACCTCAAACTGGACTGAGCAAGTCAGAGAACCAGTGTGAGACTGAAGGAAGACGAGCTTTCAAGGGGTCTAAGAACATTCACTTCTTCCTTGTGCATTAGGGGCCAGGGCGCTGTGAGGGCCTGTTTTTAGGAGAATACAGGGGTCCCTGCCCCCACGGATGGTGGGAGGCTTTTGTTGGCTGGGTTGCCGCTATTCATCTTGTCACCCCTACCCTGTCCCTGTCCCCAGGACTCGGCGGAGGACGTCCACTCCCTGGACAGCTGCGAGTACATCTGGGAGGCCGGCGTGGGCTTCGCTCACTCCCCCCAGCCTAACTACATCCATGACATGAACCGGTGAGCTTGTCTCAGGCCCGGAGCCCCCGGCAGAGCCGCAGCCCAGGCCGGGCCCCGCACGGCTCAGAGAGGCCCATGGGGTCTTCCAAGGAGACTCTCGCCACTTGTGACCCAACTTCAATCTTGCAGGGATAAATAGGCGTCGCTTCTTTCCTTGCACATGGCTGGGGTGCTGGGCAGGGTGGGGGACTGGGATCCTAAACTACCCTCCCCCATCCCTGCACCCCAAGGATGGAGCTGCTGAAGCTGCTGCTGACGTGCTTCTCCGAGGCCATGTACCTGCCCCCGGCTCCAGAAAGTGGCAGCACCAACCCATGGGTTCAGTTCTTCTGTTCCACCGAGAACAGGTGAGGGGCCCCTTGCTTTTCTCTCCCTTCTTGTTCTGGGCAACCCTGAGCTGAGACCACACCCTCCAGCCCCCAGGAGGTGCTGCCCCCTGCTGGTGATGGGCTGTAACGTACCAGTCTTGTCCCACGTCCCCTTAGAGTCCCCTTCACAGGAACGGGCCCCTGGGTCCTCCATGTAGAGCCACCTGTCCAGTGGAAATACAGTGCAAACCACATGGTACAATTTTAAAATAAAAAATGTAGAAAAAAGTAAAATTAATTTCAATGATATATTTCATTTAACCCGAAATACCCCCAATATTAGCATTTAACATGTAATCAGTATACAAAATGCTTACATTCTCTTTTCCATACCACGTTTTCAAAATCCAGTGTGTATGTGACACAGCATATCTCAATTTGGACCAGCCACATTCAGGGTGCTCAAGGCTACACGTGGCTTGTAGCTGCCCTGTGGGACCGTGTGGTTTAGACAGTGGGTGGGGAGCCACAGGGCGGGGCTGCGTGTTCGAGCAGGTGCACACGCTCCGGCTGTGCCCAGGGCTGCGCTGGTAGCACAGGGGCTAGTGCCTCTGCGGGCAGTGGTGGCCCTCCGCCATGCAGACCGTGATCCCCACATGGCACGCCTCATCCTTCAGGTGTTGCTGGCCTTCTGCCCAACCTTTTTAAAAATTTTTTTCTGGAAGAAAAGGGAGCCCAGGTGACCCCCTCTGCCAGCCATGGTCAAAGGCTGGTGAGAGTTTTCTTTCTCACTGGCCTTATCAGGCAGACTGCCACCCTTTGTCACTCACTTAACCTCGCTGGGTCTCAGCTTCCTCGTCTGTAAGATGAGGAGCTTGAACCCTGACATCTCACGAATCTGAATCGAGGAGTTCTGTGGCCTGGGAGCTGGCTGGGTGAGCCCGTGCTCCGCTCCTGGTTGGGGAAGCCCGCCGTCCCCGAGGGCCTCCAGGCCCACCTCTGAGGCCCCGAAGGAGGGTATCCGCCCCGCAAGACCCCAAGGGGTACAAAGGCGTCCCACTCGGGAAGGGACGAGCTCAGGCTCTGCTCCCAGCTCCCAGCCCAGGGACTGGCTCCGGAGTGCTTGTAGAATGAGGAGGTGGCTCAGATGACTCTCCAGGGTGGCCTGAGTGGTGGCCGGAGAGCTGGGCCCCAGATGGCGCCTCTGCAGCCCCGCCCCTCTCCCCGCAGACACGCCCTGCCCCTCTTCACCTCCCTCCTCAACACCGTGTGTGCCTATGACCCTGTGGGCTACGGGATCCCCTACAACCACCTGCTCTTCTCCGACTACCGGGAGCCCCTGGTGGAGGAGGCTGCCCAGGTGCTCATCGTCACCCTGGACCACGACAGTGCCACCAGCGCCAGCCCCACGGTGGATGGCACCACCACCGGCACGGCCATGGACGACGCTGATGTAAGGACGGGAGGAGGGAGGGCGCAGCTGGCCCTGCTGGGGCTGTGGGTGCGGGGTGAGGGCGGAGACGCGGGCACCTGCCCACCAGGGGCTTCTACTCTTGGCAGCCCCCAGGCCCCGAGAACCTGTTTGTGAACTACCTGTCCCGCATCCATCGTGAGGAGGTGAGTCGAGTGCAGCTCTGGGATTCTCACTGCCCACCCTTACGGTGGTTATGGCTTTGCAGCGGTGGGGAATTCCTGACCCTATGAGAAGAGACCACGGTCTCCCTGGACGTGGCCACGCCTGTTGAAGTAGTGACTGCTGGGCTTTTGAGATGCAGAAAGGGCTGATGGCCTCAACTGGGTGAGGGTAACCGGGCAGGCTTCTAGGGGGAGGTGGCTCTGATGTTGAGTTTCAGAGGGGGAAGGAAATGACAGTGGGCATGGACTTTAGGCCAGGCAGGCCCGAGTGCATGTGTCTGTGGCCTTGGGGAGGTGCTGGAGCTCCCAGAGATGTAACTTCTGCAGCTGCAAGATGGGGACCGCAGCTGCTTCCCCACCTTGTGAGGATGAAGTAGAGCACAGCCAGCTCATAGTAGGAGCTCAGTACATGACAGCTCTACCTGAACAGTGGGATGCTCCCCACGTGTGAAGGGGCGATGGGAGAAGTATTTTGAGGAGGGGCAAAGGGTGGCACCTGTCAACCATGAGTCCAGGTGGGCAGGGGCCCAGTTCAGGATGTGTGTATGTGTGGGTCACCAGGAGCAATAGGCTTGCTTGGGACGTGGGCAGCCCAGGGACAGGGAGGCCGTGGTCTGGCAGGGGGCAGTGGGCTCTGCACTCCTGCCCCAGACTCAGCCTCCCGAGGGGGTGGCCCTGGGACAGTTATCGATGTCAGGATCTGGGCCCCTCCAACTCTGGAGGTAGGACCAGGCTCTGGGAGAGTGAGGGGGCATTTGTGGGGACCCCAGGCTGGGAGGCTGGGGCCACGGGGAGCCGGGCTGGATAGGCCCCTGCTCTGCCCTCCTACCAGGACTTCCAGTTCATCCTCAAGGGCATAGCCCGGCTGCTGTCCAACCCCCTGCTCCAGACCTACCTGCCCAACTCCACCAAGAAAATCCAGTTCCACCAGGAGCTGCTGGTTCTCTTCTGGAAGCTCTGTGACTTCAACAAGGTGGGCTGGCTTCCAGGGGCTCAGCCCAGCAGCCAGTGGGGTGGGGAGTGGCTGCCCTGGCAGCCTGGGGAGACTGAGGGGGAGACGGTGGGCAGAGCTGCCCCTCCCCCCAACCCAGCCCAACTGACCCCTCCCCCCACCCCCAGAAATTCCTCTTCTTTGTGCTGAAGAGCAGCGACGTGCTGGACATCCTGGTCCCCATCCTCTACTTCCTCAATGATGCCCGAGCCGATCAGTGTAAGACCAGGGTTCAGTGGGGGATCCTGGGGGCTTCTTGGCAGGGGGTGGGGGCCCGGCCATCTGTCCTGCCTCCCAGGAGCTCAGGCCTGGTGCTCTGAGCTCCCAGGAGGGGCTTCTTCCCGCCCCCAGGATGGGTCCCGCCCCGGCACCCTCCCTCCCTTTCCCACCCCGAGCGACCCCTCCTGTGCCACGCGCTGCAGCTCGGGTGGGCCTGATGCACATTGGCGTCTTCATCCTGCTGCTCCTGAGCGGGGAGCGGAACTTCGGGGTGCGGCTGAACAAGCCCTACTCAGTGCGTGTGCCCATGGACATCCCGGTCTTCACGGGCACCCACGCCGACCTGCTCATCGTGGTGAGGGGGCTCACACGGCCAAGCCCTCGGGGTGCGGGCGACGTCCTCCTGGCCGAGTCCTGGCCTGGTCCCCGTGATGGGGACCCCACGGCCACTCCTCTCTCTCCCGGCACAGGTGTTCCACAAGATCATCACCAGCGGGCACCAGCGGCTGCAGCCCCTCTTCGATTGCCTGCTCACCATCGTGGTCAACGGTACGGGCCGGGCCCGCCTTTCCTGCGCTCGCCACCAGGTGGCGCCAGGCGCCAAGCCGACCTGCCTTGGGCTCCCTGGTCCAAACCCCTCCGTCCCACAGAGGTAGAAAGCCAGCCCTTGAGTGCCGCTCATTTTTCTAGGAGCCACATTAAAAACATAAAAGAACAGGTGACAACAATTTTATAATATTTTTGTCTCTAATCCACTATATCCCAAATACTGTCATCTCACCATGTAGCCAATATAAAAAATTATGAGCGGGCTATATGATATTCTTCTCCACGCCCGGTCCTCACAATCGTGTCTTTCACACATGCACCTCAATTCAGTTAGGACAAGCTGCGTTTCAGGCACTTAATGGCCACATGTGGCTGGTGACCACCAGATTGGACGGCGCAGGTTTGGACAGTTGGAATCACGCAGAGGGGATATCACAGCCACCTGCCCTCTGCCTTTGCCCCGCCAGCCGGCACAGACTGCAGACAGCACCTGGGAGGACCCGGGTGGGCTTGGGGTCCAGCAAGGCGGGTGGCTGTGGGCTGGGCAGAGGGACTTCAGCATGGACGCCTTTTGGAGAGGAGGGTCGTGGTGGGTGGTGGCTGCAGGGTGAGTGGTGTGGGGCTGTGGAGGCCTCTAGCTGGGCTGTGAGCTCTGGGGCCAAGACTGTCCCTTCCTGTCCTCGTTCACGCACTGGCTCCATCCCGCAAATCCCATGTGAGCCGGCTCTGAGAATGCGTTTGAGAACCAGAGAGCCCCCTTCCCTGAGGGGCCCTCAGCCTGGTGAGAGGGGAAGACGTGAGACAAGGACATGCACAGGTCCATATGTACCTTCAGGCTGGGCAGAGCATTTCGGCTTTGATCCCCTGCTGCCCCCAGGTCTGTGCGCAAAAAATACATATCTAATACTGTGGCATTCTAGAAAGACTTCAAGGTCCTGAGTTTGTATCCCTGCCCAATCATTTTATTCCTGGGGAACCTGGGCCAAGTTTACAGCCCTCCCTGAGCCACAGTTTCCTCATCTGTAAACTGGGGATGATCCCATCTGTGTCCTGCCTCCCTGTTGGGTGTGGGGAGGACTGGGAGAGGTGAGAGGCGTGTGGCTTTGCAAGCAGGACAGCTGTCCTCATGGTCCAGGGGTGAGGGGAGGGTGGAGCCTCACTGCCTCTAGGGGCTTGGTTTCCCCGGCTTCGCAGGGGCAGGGAGGGACGGGGGCACGAGCACGCTGTTCGGCCCAGGCCCGCCACATGCAGGGCCGGCAGGGGCCCAGCAGTGAGCTGACCGCTCCCCCGCAGTGTCTCCCTACCTCAAGAGCCTGTCTATGGTGACTGCCAACAAGCTGCTGCACCTGCTGGAGGCCTTCTCCACCACCTGGTTCCTCTTCTCCGCTGCCCAGAACCACCACCTGGTCTTCTTCCTCCTGGAGGTCTTCAACAACATCATCCAGTACCAGTTTGATGGTGAGGCAGCAGCCACGCCCCTGGCCGGCCTCGGGGGGCAGGGATCAGGGCAGCCCATGGGCGAGGGCACCGTCCCGCCTAAGGAGGGCACAGCCCAGGAACTGGTCTCCAGGGAGGTGCAGGCCAGCCGGCCTTCTGCTCCCAGTTCATTCATTCCATGTGCATTTATTGAGCACTTCCTGTGTACTTGGGTGCAGGGGATACAGTGGGGAACAAAGATGTGCTTCCTGCCCCATGGAGTTCACAGCTGGGGACAGATGCTATTTTCCCACAATGTAGCATCCTGGGGCGGCCACACTGGCACACACACACTGCCGCCTGGCTCTGCCCTGGCACCTCCATGGGGCTCTCTGTACCATCCACCCCTGGGAAGACACCCTCCTGTCCTCCACCCCTTCCCCCGGGAAGCCCACCCAGAGTGGTGGGGTGGGGAGGGAGGGGCCTCCCTGAGGCCAGGCATGCTCCCTCCCCGCAGGCAACTCCAACCTGGTCTACGCCATCATCCGCAAGCGCAGCGTCTTCCACCAGCTGGCCAACCTGCCCACCGACCCTCCTGCCATCCACAAGGCCCTGCAGCGGCGCCGGCGGACGCCCGAGCCCTTGTCCCGCACTGGCTCCCAGGAGGGCGCCTCCATGGAGGGCTCCCGCCCCGCCGCCCCCGCGGAGCCCGGCACCCTCAAGACCAGCCTGGTGGCCACCCCAGGTCTGGCGCTGGTGGGTGGGAAGGGTTGCAGACACCACAGTCTCTGAGGTGTCACCCCCATCTCTGGCAGAGGGCGTGGCCTGCGCTGGGAAGCTGTGGGGCTGGAGATGGGTAGCACGGTGGGGTAGGGGTGCTGGGTGGGCCCAGGTAGCTTATGGGGGGCTGGGGCCTGGGGGCTGGGTGTGGGCTCTGGGAGGGGTGGGCGCAGGTGGGGGGCTGGGGGTCAGACACAATACAGTGCCTCTAAAGTGGGTGGGGGAGACAGGGGTCTCATGACTGTGGCAGGGGTCCTCACTCCCACCTGTGCCCACCCAGGCATTGACAAGCTGACAGAGAAGTCCCAGGTGTCAGAGGATGGCACCTTGCGGTCCCTGGAGCCTGAGCCCCAGCAGAGCTCAGCAGATGGCAGCCCAGCCAAGGGGGTGGGTGACGGGGACTCCTGGAACGGGATGAGGCTGGGCGTTCCCTTCCTCCCTGTCTCTGTGGTGCGGGCTGGGCCAGGGCACTCTGGGGTCACCTGCAACAGAGGGGCAAGCACCCAGCGCCCTGGGCTTCAGAGTTGGTACTGCTGACTCTCAGGGAGGGGCTGGGGGGCCTTTCACAGACCCCTCCCTTGTTTGCTGGTCACGGGAAGTCCTTGGCCTTCAGGTGCCTCATCCATCAGCCTTATCTAAGCTGGCCTTTACCCCGCCGGCCCTGTCGGCCCCTGGCCCTAAACCTGTCACTGAGCTGGGCTGGGCCTGGGGCCCAGGGCAAAGGGTGCTGGGCTGGGCTCCCCTCTGTCGGGAGCAGCCCCCCCGGCAGTCAGTGGGGAGACCTCGGTGCCCTCCACCCCCAGCCTGCACCCTCTCCTTGCATCCCTCACCCCCTTCCTTTCCGGGGACCAGGAGCCCAGCCAGGCGTGGAGGGAGCAGCGGCGACTGTCCAACACGTCAGCCAGCGGACAGTGGAGCCCAACGTCGGAGTGGGTGAGGCCCCACTGGAGGAGCCGGGGCTTGGGGTTCGGGAAGATGGCACCGGGGTGGGCTGGGTCAGGGGCCACCCGGCCTGGAACAGCTCGGTAAACACTTGGATGGGACTCCGTCCCTGGGAGCTGGGCTGGGGGTCAGTCCTTCCGGCTGGGTGCCCTTCCCACGTGTTTGGCCTCTTTCTGGCTCATTTGCATCCTCTGTCTACACTGCCTGCCAGAGTTACCCAGCAGGATTGAGCTCCGGTTGCCCACGGTGCTCACTTCCTTCATAAATCTTCCTTTCTGACTTCCTTCCCTGAATCACGTCCCCACTCCCTGTGTGTGTGCTGAGATCACCACTGATTGCCCTGGAGAGAAATGATCCCCGTCCCTGCCCAGGGCTGTTGTGAGGGCTAAGGGGACAGTTTTCCAAAAGGCCTGTGGCACGGTGTCTGGCCTGTAGAAGGTGCTTACTGAGGACCACGGCCCTCACCACGGGCAGCGGTTACCGCTCCCGGCCTGGCCGCGGGAGCGGGGAAGCCTTCTGCCTTGGGGCGCCCGTGGTTCTGGGCCAGGGTCAGGGCTGTCCCGTAGCCCCAGCAAGCTCGGCCCCTCCCCAGGTCCTCTCCTGGAAGTCGAAGCTGCCGCTGCAGACCATCATGAGGCTGCTGCAGGTGCTGGTCCCCCAGGTGGAGAAGATCTGCATCGACAAGTGAGTGTGACGCTGGGCGGCCCAGGCTTGGGTGGGGTGTGTCTGGGGGGAGCCCCGTGCCCTCCTAGACCAGGGGAGCATGCTGGAGAGCCCGCCCTCTGCCCGCAGGGGCCTGACGGATGAGTCGGAGATCCTGCGGTTCCTGCAGCATGGCACCCTGGTGGGGCTGCTGCCCGTGCCCCACCCCATCCTCATCCGCAAGTACCAGGCCAACTCGGGCACCGCCATGTGGTTCCGCACCTACATGTGGGGCGTCATCTATCTGAGGTGGGCCCCGGGGGCGGGTCTGGGTTCTGGGGGGCCCCCAGCTCTGGGTCCCACCATCTGTGGTAGGGTTAACATCAAGACAGTGAACCAAGGTGGTCTTGTCTGCTAACGGGTGGGCACTCATGGCCCAGGGCTGGCCATTGGGCTGGAGGGGTTGGTTTGGGGATTATTGTCGCCTGGCTCCTCCCCAGCATCTTGGTGACTCTCCCCCAACTCCTGCAGGAACGTGGACCCACCTGTTTGGTACGACACGGATGTGAAGCTGTTTGAAATTCAGCGGGTATGAGAATGGAAACCTGCAAGGGGCTGCGTCCAGACGCTTCCTGGACCCACCGTTCTGAGCTTTAAATTACCACGATCAGGGCCGGGCACAGGCAGATGGCTGAGTCCTGGGTGGCAGGCCCCAGAGGGCCCCCTGTGGTCGGGACAATGAGGACCGGCTCCGACCCCCACCCTCCAGTCTGGACTCACAGGAACCTCCTGCCTCCAGGGCTACAGGCCCTGCCAGACCCCCTCACTCGGATGCCCCTTTCAGGGGACTTTTCTGTGCTGACCCCTCAGTGCCCACTTGCCCCCAGAAGCCACCAGGTCACTGTGCCCATGGGTTTGCCCAAGGAGCCATGGGCTGTCCCTTGAGGCACCTGGCAGGGCGAGGGGAGTCCTTCCCAGCCTCCTAAGCTGAAGTCACCTGTTCCAGGTCCACTCCCTGCCAGGGTCCGTGGGAAGGGCCAGGCTGTCCCTCTGGGAGGCTGGCAGACTGCAAAAGCCAGACTGGGGCTCCTCGTGTATTCTTGGGGCTTAGAGTGGGGTGTTGAGGGTCTCCCTTCTACCCCAGAAATGGGGGGAGGGAAGGGAGCTGGGGGGTAGCTGTTCAGTCCTCCCTGCCCAGCCTGCTGCCTGAGTGGGGGATGCCACCCCAACATCCTCCCCGGCTCTGCCCGCGGGAGCCCCCCCCCCCCGTGTCAGTACAATCTTTGCTCTGTACAATCGGCCCCTTTACACAATAAACCCCCTTCTTCCCGCTCTGTCTCTTTGTGCTTGGAGAGGAGAGGGCCAGGCCATGGCTCTTATCTTCAGGGGAGCTGAGGACACTGCACCCCAGGGTCAGCCCCCAGAGGGTCCCCAGTGCACAACTGGGAACCAGCACTTGTCACTTGCTTGGCTGAGAAGCAGGACTGGGCTCAGTTGTCTCAGGTTTGAGCCCGTAGGCTGTGGCCAGACAGAGAGAAAGCCCACAGCGGAGAGGACAAAGGGCCACCCCAGGCAGCCACCGAGCCTGAGCTGGGGTGTCCTGGCAGTGTCCCCGAGCATGCCTGTGCCTCGCCCCGTTGATGCCGCTGTTTGCTCTGGGCTCGGGGAGATGGATGGGCTGTCAGCGCCTGCCTCTCCCTCCCTGCTCCACCCGAGGGCACAGGGGGCCGGGCGAGCCTGGGCAGCACAGGCCATAAGCTCTGTCATGAGCCGGCTGCAGAAAGTCACCTGGGGCTCTGTCCCAGAGAGAGGGTGTGGCTGGGGTGGGATGGGGGGGATACACAGGCCCCGGCCCACCTCTTCCCACCCCTTCCCACGGAGCACCAAGGGAAGGACCGGTTTAGACCCACCTGGCCCAGGAATGTGCCAGCCCCACAGCCCTGCCCAGGGGGACCATCCTTTCCCACCACGCAGAGCGGCAGTTCCGTCCCTGGGAACAAATGCCACGAAGCCTGAGTATCATCGATCAAACAAACAGGGTTTATGCAGCAGGAGAGCTGTTGAACTCTGCCTGGCAGCTAATTAATGAGCTCATTAGGACACAGGGTGTGTGGGGAAAGGGGCAGGGCCGCTTGCCAAGCTCTGATCTCTGAGCTCGAGGGTGTCCTGGGCCACGCTCGGACCATGTGCCCTTCCTGCAGCCGGAGGCTGAGCCCGAGCCCTGAGGCCTCCAAACTCCCAGACTCCATCATTTAGGTCTGATCCTCCCTGAGAGCAGCTGTGAGGGGCCCCCGCCAGCCTTCTGGGCGCACCCTCGGCTCGCTCATTGTGTGTGGAAGGCAGGGGGCAGGCATGTGCCCGGGCCTGGGCGTGGACGTCACAAGCTCCGTGGCCAGGCCCTGCCCTTGGTCTTGGGCTCCTGGCAGTGCCCTCCCCTTCAGTGAGGCTCTGGGGGGGGGGGGACGCTTTGGGACCCCCAGGCCGGGCTCTGCACCTCTTAGAATGAGGCGTCTGCCCAGAAACTCTGGGCCACCTTCTCCCTGGCAGTGGCACTTCAGGGCTCTGCTGGGGGTGGGCTTCTTGGGCAGCTTCAGGCCCCCAGGTAGACCTCCACCAGGCCCCCCACAGAGTGCATGCGGTAGAAGACTCCCAGAGGCAGGCCAAAGTTGACGATGGCGAACCACGTCTGGTAGCCATAGAAATCCTTTTCCAGCCCATTCTCGAACTCCGGGTGTATGCCGAACGCAGGCATCATCCACAGCTGGAGGGGAGAGGGAGGGGAGGAGTGGGGGAGGGGCTCGCGTGTGCCCCAAAGCACCCAGCCAGGGAAGGCAGGCTTTCGGAGCACGCTGCTCTCCTCCAATATCTCCCTCACTCCACACCCCAGAAGGCCTCAGACATCTCCTCGGCCTGGCTGGGGCTGGCCTGACCTCGAGGTGGATCCGAGAATGCAGGCCGCCACCACACGGTGCCGAGTGGCAGGAATTCCCGGTGTGCAACCTGCTCTGTCAAGCCGGTCTCCCCTGTGACCTAGTTAGGGCTTCACGCTTCTGCTCCCACCTTCCTGCCCAAACTCTGCCATTCCTCAAGGCTCAGAGTGAACCTTTTGCAAAGCCTTCCTCGGCCACGCGGGCCCACATTTCCTTCCCTGCGCTCCTGACGCACCTTAGAGCCAAGATGTTACTTATTCTCTGCCTAGACCAGAGGTTTCATACCTTGGGTCACACAATCCTGACTTGTCCCAGCACTGCCTTGGGCAGGTCCAACAACCTAAGACTCAGTTTCCTCATGTGACAAATGGGCTAGTTATGGTGCCCGTTGCACGGGGTTACTGTGTTGATTCAATGAAGTGTGGAGATAGGGCACAAAGAGGTGGACCTGGGACTACAGCAGCCACCAGGAGCTGGGCAATCATCACCAATATCTTCCACTAGGGATTCCTTAGAAAACCTGATCTTTTCCTTTGACTGAGTTCAGTGGATGATGAATTCAGTGGTAATTCTCTCACTAGTTCCCTGGTGTCTCCCCAGCTAGACGGTAAGCCTCCGGAGGGCGGAAATCCTATGTAATCGTTTGTAAGGAGCACTGAGCTATGTGCTTGGCACATTCATTCATGCCAGGCACCTTGTAGGGAGCCGGGGGACACTTTCAAGCAGCACCAAGCTAGTTGGAGAGAGGTACGTGTCCTTGATCCATCCCTTCCTGAGTCCCGGGGATTTCTGGGCTGGCCTGGCCAGCTCCACCCCTCATCTCCCAGCCCAGCTACTCACCGTGATGTTGCAGAGGATGAGGAAGAGTGAGATCTCCTTGAGCGCCCGTCGCTTCCAGTTGAGGTGGCTGTAGGAGTGGATGTAGGCCCGCGAGGCCCGCCGCAGGCCCTGGCCCAGCTCCAGCAGGGAGCCCCTGCGGGGAGGCTCGGCCTCTTGCTTTTCGCAGGGGCCCCGAGGAGCTGCCTCCCAGAGCGGGCGGCGGTGCAGGCCCTCGATGATGAACAGGTTCTGGGCGATGTGCTGCAGGATGAGCAGCAGCGAGTAGGCCAGGATCAGGCGGTTGAGCAGCTCGTGCGGGCGCGTGGCCACGATGGCCACGATGGAGAAGTAGCCGATGCCCATCTGGCCCAGCGCGGCCCCCATGAGCAGCACCACGTCCAGGCTGCGGGTGGGGTTCTTGAGCGTGTCCAGCTCACGCTCCTCCAGCCCGTGGATGGCCGTGCCCGCCAGGCACGCCAGGCTCATGGCGGGCAGCGCGGCCACATAGAAGGCGTAGTAGAGGTGGAAGTACCGGGGAGCAATGGCGGGGCCACTCGCCTCGATCTGGAAGAGCACGAAGACGCACACGCCCGCCACCAGCATCAGCAGGCCCAGCAGCGGCCCCAGGATGACCCCGTGCAGGCGGAAGGGCGGGGTGCCGGGGTGGGCACCCGAGTGGTGTGCCAGGCGGCGGCCCACGTTCTTCCACATGACGAACAGCACGGCGCAGCAGATGAGGCAGTACTCGGTGCTGAAGGGGTACAGCATCAGGTAGCCCTTCCGGAAGACCCCACACACCGTCGCGTTGAGGCACAGACAGGTGTTGTTCTCCTGGCCTGGGAGGGGCGGGGCCGGACGGGGCAGACTCGCAGGTGGGCCCTCCTCTGAGGGCACCGGCTGCACTAATCACTCCCATCCCCCTCCCGGAATATGCCGGAGGTGGAAGGGCCCCAGCTGCTCATTTTACAGATGTGGAAGCTGAAGCCCAGATACAGAAAGCGGAAACCACAGAATGGTGGTTCCTTTACAAAGGGATTCGAGACTTCAGGTGCCAAGCATTTAAAACGTGATGTCTCTGGTGCCAAATGTCACCTCTGCAAATTACTTCCTGGACTCAAGGGAAAACCTGTAGCTTTACAATGGCTGGGGCTGCTACACCTGAACCTAGCGACAGGCCTTAGCAGCACGCACTGGGGGGTGATCGGACACCTGTGCCCCAGGACAGGTGCACCTGGGAATGCTGGTGCCAAAAATGTCTACCCTGAATCTCATCAAGACTTTGGTCCATACTTCCAACTTCTAGGGAAAGCAGGGAAGAGGGGAACAAGATGAAAACTACCACTAGGAAGCAGCCTGACAAATCTCAATGTCATTGGGAAAAAACAGACTTAGACTTAACCCAATCCATTCCATGTTTGCACAAACTGTAGAAGACATTTTATGCTAATTGGAGAAAGTTGAATGTAGATTGATAAACAGGATGGGGATGTTGGTAAGGAATTTTTTTAACAATCATAATAGCATTGTAGTAATGTAGGGAAATACGCTTTTTTTTTTTTTTGAGATAGGGTCTCTCTTGGTTGCCCAGGCTAGTGTACAATGGGGTCATCACAGCTCACTGCAACCTCCAACTCCTGGGCTCAAGTGATCTTTCTGCCTCAGCCTCCCCAGTAGCTGGGACTATAGGTGTGTGTCACCACACTTGGCTAATTTTTCTATTTTTTTTGTAAAGACAGGGTTGCTCTGTGTTGCTCAGGCTGATCTTGAACGCCAGGCCTCAAATGATTCTCCCACCTTGGACTCCCGAAGTGCTAGGATTATGGGCCTTCGTCACCATGCCCAGACAGGAAACACACTTAGTTTTAAAGAGATGCATACTGAAATGTTTTGAGATAAAATGCCATGATTTCTGTAATTTAAGTACCTCAGGAAAGAAATTGAAATATGGCAAAATATTAATAATTATTACATCTAGGTGATGGGATTTGTCTTGTTCTTTTGCTCATCTGTAATGTTTGAATTATTATTATTTTTTGAGACAGATCTCGCTCTGTTGCCCAGGATAGAGTGCAGTGGCATCATCATAGCTCACGACAACCTCAAACTCCTGGGCTCGAGTGATCCTCCTGCCTCAGCCTCCCGGGTAGCTGGGACTACAGGCATGTATCAGCATACCAGGCTAATTTTTCTATTTTTAGTGAAGACTGGGTCTCACTCTTGCTCAGGCTGGTCTGGAACCCTGAGTTCAAGCGATCCTCCTGCCTCGGCCTCCTAAAGTGTTAGGATTACAGGCATGAGCCACCCCGCCTGGCTCTGAATTGTTTTGTAATGACAAAATGACTTTTCATAAAATATATATGAGGACAAAATCCATGATGTCACTTGCCAAAACTTCATTCTCTCTTTGCACAGCTTTTCTGAGGAATGTAACAGGGCACACAGAATGCCCACGGTCCAAGGCGTGCCATGACTGATGCGGTGGGCGTGTGAGTGCTGAGTGTGCTGACAGGGCTTGGCTACAGGGCATGGCGGTGATGCCACCTGGGGTGTGCACGTACAGGTGTGGCTGAATCCCATGGAG